TTCAACCAAAATCCAAACTTTGCGCTGAACTAAACACAACCCAAACTTTCAATTTTGGCGTGAACTAAACATACGTTAGTTCCCAACTTTTTCTTCAAACTTCCAATTTTTCCATCACATCAAAACTTTCCTACACACACAAACTTTCAACTTTTCCGTTACATCGTTCCAATTTCAATCAAACTACCAATTTTGGTGTGAACTAAACACACCCAAATTTGTTATTTTGAACCATCTTTAGGTCTTGTTTAGATCCCAAAAAATTTTGCCCAAACATCACATCAAATGTTTGGCCACATATATGGGACATTAAATGTGGGAAAAATAAATCAATTGCACAGTTTGCATGTAAATTGCAAGACGAATCTTTTGAGCATAATTACGCCATGATTTGACAATGTAATGTTACAGTAAACATTTACTAATGACGGATTAATTAGGCTTAATAAATTCGTCTCGCGGTTTACAGGCGGAATCTGTAATTTGCTTTGTTATTAGTTTACATTTAATACTTCAAATGTGTATCCGTATACTTTAAAAACTTTACACCCAAAAAACTAAACACACCCTTACTAACTAAAGTTTCATAATGGATTAGAATCAAACCTATCCTTTTATATGCCACCAGCCCACCACACATGTATAGTTACCATTCTTTGCACTTTGGGCTAGAGTTTACAGACTGTACACATGTTAGCACAAGAACAACTGATGTCAGGTTATAGTATACCTTATCACACAATTCGGGATTTTATTGCTACATATGAACATTCAGTGCCATTTTAATTTAGAGAAAAAACATAAGAATTTTGGAGGATTTCAATCCTACAGGAAAATTTCCTACAAAGGTTTTTGAAACAAAAGATTGAATCCTATGTTATCCTTTGAAATTCCTATGAAATAGGCAATCCTATAGAGATTTTGAAGGAAATTTAGCAAGAGCTTCAACCTCTTAGAAATTTCCCTTTGAGTCTATTTCTCTCATCCTATTCCAGTATTTTTCTTGTGGTCTAATCAAACAGTCATTCTTTTGTATTTTCGTATTTTGCAATCCTCTGTTTTGCACGTACATTCCTATTAGAATCCTGTATTTTTCATATTCCTCCATTTTTACATTCCTACGATTCAAAGGGTCCCTCACATATCAGATTTCACTACCTAGAAATTGAGGGCATTCAAATTGATACATCAAACTAAAAATAATAATTAGAGACTCCCTTAGTTCCAAAATAAACAACCTAGGATTAGATGGGTAGTATAACAAATCTGGATAGATGTATGTTCAGATTCGTTGTACTATGTAATGTAATATCCTATATAATTATAGATTGGTTTATTTTAAGACGGAGGAAGTACTTAATATTACTTCCTCCGTTTTATATTATAAGACTTTATAGCATTGCCCCCCCACACATATATATGCCTAGATTAATTAACATCTTTATGAATGTGAGCAATGTTAGAAAGACTTATAACTTGAAAGTACTTCCAAAATATTCAAACTGAATACCCTTAATTGTCGCACCCCTAATTATAGTTCTTGAAAATGGCAGGTAATTGAGTTATCTGAAAATTAAATCAACAAGTTGAAATAGTCGATCAAGCAGGATGGAGTCTTTGTTGCTTGCAACTTTGTGAAGCCTGATCCAAAGTGCAAAAGAATGAAATTATATAAGGTGTTATGTGAAAAATATCAACCTAGATCTGGTCCGTTATGAAACTCTAATTAACAAAGGTGACCCAAAGTGAAATTTACTCTTTTAGTAATACTTTCTAAAATAGTTGTCTTTCTAGAGCTTAAATTTTATCTCAATTTAGTTATCATTAGTCTACAAGTTGTCCCATCAACCACCTTCTATTTAAATTTCTTCCCGTTCTACCTCAATCATCCTCCCACTTTCATTTAAATAAGAGGTAATATAGTTTTTTTCTTCAACCTTAATCTCTACTAAACTATATGGAGTGACAAAGTATTGTGGGACAGCGATAGTACTAGTAATACTTGTTATGGGGGAAGCACAACTGTTATGGTGATAGATTGTGCATAACTCTATCAATCAGGGTTTAAATTTTGATGTTCATAGATATTACGTAGATGTGGTGTATGTTCAATAGGATTTTGGTGAGGCTAAGAGTTTGCTAGCGGGTGTTTAAGTGTTGTGTGCACGTGTAATGGTATATGTGCGTGTATCCGTATAATTGAAATAAAAAGAGAAATAAGTTCAAGTAACATTACCTTCAAAATACTACGATACCAAATATTTAACACCTTTAACTTTTTAACACCGAAGAAATAATCCCTCAATATTGTTGAAAGCGGAGAGACATTATTAGGGGCAGCGTGTGCTCTAGGAAGAGCAGCCAGCATCAGGCCGTGGAGCTACACCAAGCGCCCGCCTCCGCCATCGTGTCCATCTAGAGGAGATTGGGGAGAGAGGAAGAGGCATAGCCGCATTGGTAAAGTGAGAAAAGAAAGAGAGATGACAGATACTCCCTCCGTTCCATAATTTATGGGATTTTGAGTTCTTACTTAGAACGTTTGACCACTCGTTTTATTCAATTTTTTAAATTATTATTTATTTTATTTGTGACTTACTTTATTATCTACAGTATTTTAAGCACAACTTTTCGTTTTTTATATTTGTAAAAAAGAATTTGAATAAGACGAGTGGTCAAATGTTACAAGCGAAAACTCAAAATACCTTATATTGTGGGACAGAGGGAGTACTTCCTCCGGTTTCATTTTAATTGACGTTTTGGACAATGACACGGTCTAAAGATACATGTTTGATCTTATTTTTCTATTATAATATATATAATAAATAAATGCATGTTTACTTTTATTATAGTACTTTAAAAGACAAATTTATATATATTGTTCCAGTTCCTTTAAACTAAATATTTTTAAAGTTATTGATGGTCAAAGTTATAAAAGTTTGACCTTAACTTTGTCTAAAACGTCAATTAATATGTAACTAGAGGGAGTATTTGTTATGGATGGATTGTCACGTTTTACACTTTAACGTGTTCGGAAACCGTTCAAAACACTGTTATGGAGTACTCGTTCGGTGTCAAAAGTTGGAGGACGTCAAATGTTTAGTTTTATATGTATGCAATTCAGATTATCACGATAGTTCGATGTAATTCAATTCTTTTTTTCTGAAAAAAGAATCGTACTTGTTATTTATTTTTCTTTTTTCAACTTGTAACGGTAGTAGTACTTCTGTCACGTAGTGCGATGTACTACGACTGCCGAGCTCAGTAATAAACCGACGACTAATCAATGGATTTTGGAGCAATCAGTCCCCAAGTCCCAACAAAAAAAAGCCGTATCCAGTAGTAACCAGTAATGGATTTTGGAGTATACTGCTGCAACAACCGGACACAACACATCGGTGCTCACGAGAGAAACAGTCGTCGTAGGACGAGTCACCCTCCAGCACAGTGCAACGAAAGCTAGGCTGGTGTCACGCAACATCACAGCCAAACAAGTCTCCTGTAGCTCAAGCCATTGCAGTCCACGGGACGATCATACGAAGCTGAAAACGGAATGACTATCCAACAAGTACGTGAAACGCGTACGAACTTCCACTTTACGCCCAGTAGCACCGTCCTACTGTTTCAAAGGCACCTACTACCTATGTGATGTGCCCACAGAACCGGTCCCAAAATTGGTATGCACGGATCTGTTCCTTCTCTCTCAGCATTGATCAGCTACTTGACCTTCTACATACAAATCACTGTTCACCCTTCAACAAAAACTATTTTAGTTCGATGCATTCTTTTTTTTATACTACTCGTATAATAACTTCACTTGAGTGTCTTCTGTTGTAGCCTGGGAATTTTCCCAACTTTACACTGAAAAACAAAATAAAATTACTGAATTTTGTGCATTTAAGAGAACACAAGGAGTACCACTAGAGAGATCTTTATGGTGAAGATTTGATTACATGTTTAAATCTTAGTGTCTACAATCTCATAAACGTTAACACGAATTGGACGTAACTGATTAGATTCATTGTGGTTGGATCAACGACGAGAAGCTCGGCCATGGCCACACTCGACCACATCAATCCAGGTGGAGACGGGGCGCCGATCAGTGAGACAACGTCTTGCACCTAGGCCGTCTTTTTGTGGAGGTGTTCATGGTGGTCAAGACCGTGTGGCCACAACAACCATGTGGCAACAACACCTCTAGGTACACCGATTAAGCTCCGAGCAAGCTAGCTCGCAGTCGGCTCCCCCTCTTGCCATCGCCGCTCCAAGCGAGCTGAACCTTCGCCGGCAACCCTCCCATTATCACTCCTCCAAGAGAGCCAGACTAACATCGTCTCTTCTATTATCCTCATCGTGCTTGAGGGAATCAAGGATGAGGGAGCCACATCGATTTGGAGGAACTAGAGCTCGGCACACTGATTGGCTACCAACTGATTTGGCGGTGTTGGAGATCGAGATGCCACATCACCATCCGATGTGGAGGCGCTGATCTAGAGTTGTTAGAGCTCAGGCCATGACCGTTTAACCTGCACAGATGTTGTTCCATTGTAGCTTCTTCTCCTCTGTAATAGGCAAGCCGCAAGACGAAGAAGATGAACACGACAGTGCTATTTCTTATCCAGATTAATTGTTGAGTTGGCTAGCTAAAATAACAAAATAGAAATAATTTAGTGGACCGAGGTGACAAATAATCAAACTTTTTTGGGATAGTAACATTTGTGAGTACACCATCCGGTGGCATAAAGTAAAAAAAGAAAACCTGAGACAAATGACCTATTTGGTCACCAATTTGGTATTACAAAAATTTATTTGGGTAATAAGCTAAACACATTTTCGCCATCATTATCTTACGGACTCCATATTCCTTGACTTTACCAAATTTCGGTCTCTTCATTTAGCATTATCAAATTTTAGAAGAAAAAAGCCCAAAATTTTAGAAGTACAGTAGCTCTCTCCAGTCTCCAGTCATCCAGTGCGTGCATGTGTGATGTGTCCGCTTTAAAAACGGGAGACAACGTTACATCACACACGCACACGCGAACACCAGACCAGAAGCCCAAACACACGAGCGCGGCAGCGGCAGCGGCTAGCAGCAAGCACCGCGACGCGACGCGCCGAGCAGTGCACCACGCCACTGGATCGAGAGGAGGGGGAGGAGATCGCCGATGGGGAGCAGCGGTGGCAGCAGCGAGCACTTCCTGCGCCAGTTCAGCGCGAGCGACGGCGCACCGCTGCCGCGTGAGCTGGGCGAGGAGTGGGCGGCGGCCGAGTGCGGCAGGAGGGGGTCGAGGCGGTGGTCCAGGAAGAAGGCGAGGGGGCACCACCGCCGCGGCGGGGGCGGAGGCGGCGGCGGCGGGCTCTGCAGGAGCAGGGAGGAGGCCCCCGCGGGGAGGAAGCGGGTGATGGTGGTGGTGGACCAGAGCTCCGGTGCCAAGCACGCCATGATGTGGGCGCTCACCCACGTCGCCAGCAAGGGGGACTTCCTCACCCTGCTCCACGTCCTCCCCCACGGCGGCGGCGACGCCTCCGCGCTCGCCAACTCCCTCGGCTCACTCTGCAAGGCCTGCAAGCCCGAGGTGCGTGCTTAAAGCTACCCAGCTTTCTAATCATGCAAGCCCAAATATTAATTTTTTTTAGGAATGAGCACTTCAATTTCTAGTGTTTTTGGTTCATTGATCGTGTAGAACTGCACTGTTTTTTTTTCAACTTATGAATTGCACAATGTGATATGTTTCTTGTTCTCCTATACTTGTCATTCTGACTTCTGAGGTGGCACACTGTGCTTATCATTTTGAACTTGAGTGACACACTGAGGTTGCCATTCTGAGCTTGTCACTCACTTAATATAATTACGGCGAGGTGCTTTACATTTTTGCATTCCGAGCTTATAAGTGGCAGACTACAGTAAAGGGCGTTCTAGTTTGCTCAGGAACATATAAGTCATACAGTGTATGAACTATGAATGGCAAAAGTTTGGTTTAATTGACACTGTAACAAGTGAACTGGTTGTAGGTTATGGTTCTCCTCGCTTTCAAGAAAGTACTCTGTTGTTCTCATTAAGCATATATTAAGAGAACTTCGGTTGTTTTTTGTTGCTCTTTTTCACATGTGCATTTGGTTCTTGGGCAACCTGGAGCCAAGAGTTATGCAAGGTAGATGGAGTAGATCAGATCAGAACATTCATGGAAAAAGAATCATAGCCAACTTTTCATTGATGGATCATGGCAGACTTAAAGCTAAAGCCTAAAAGGCCTCAACTTCATAAAAGCAAGATAAAGAAAAAATCGTGGGGCTCCCATCTAGATGCTCTCATAACCATAGTCAAATTCTCAAAAATTTGATGGCCTTTAAGGACTGCACCAAAAGTTGTTCAGAAGCATTTCAAAAGGGTTTTAATGCAAAATCCGTGTCCTTTTCTGGGGCTAAAATGTAAAGAACTCAACATTTGTGACCTTGTAACCCTGTTGCACGAATAAAAAAACCAGCATCCCAGTGTACTTCACATCTCCATTTTTTTTATTCGTGAATGTACTTGTCTTTGTTTTGTTTAGCAGAGGATGCATGCACTGTTCCTCGTCTTTTTGCCCGTGAAAACGGAGGGCTCATCCATCACGGTTATCTCACATTCTCACTGTACTCTGCAATGTTTACAAAGCTGGTTTGGATGAATGTTAGGTGGAGGTTGAGGCGCTTGTGATCCAAGGGCCCAAGCTGGGCACCGTCCTCAGCCAGGTGAAGAAGCTGGATGCATCTGTGCTGGTGCTGAGCCAATGCAAGCCATCTCCTTTCTGCTGGTAAAGCTTGTACTACTACATCTAAGCATATGCATGCATGCATCACAATCCCTCATCTATGCCCACAGAATAGTAGTTCTGCACAAAGGTGAAAGAGAGAGAATCTTTACATAGCTGGCACAGTAGCACAGCCCATCGCACTGTCAAGTCCCTTGTTTCTTTATAAGCAAAATGTTAGTACTTTAATAGCTGGTCATGTCTGAAGGTTCCTCAGAGTAATATTTTAACAGCTTAAGTTGTGTTTCTAAAATGTACAAATATAGGATCACACTATTTGGTATAGTCAGGAAATTTTGGGAAGAAACTTTATCAGTAAGTAGGCCAGGAATGGGGTCACTGCCTTTTGTGTGAAAACTCATCAACAGCAAGAGCCATGTGCCAATACCATCCTTAAATCACAGATGCCTTTCGTAGTAGTCAAAGATGTCCTTCCAGGCAGCTTAAACTCTCCTAAATGAATCAAGCAGCAAGAACCATGATAATAGTACTGTGTGGTAGTGTATCACTGAGGCCCTGACCACTGCTTGAGTTGCTGCTGCTGTCGTACTACTATGTAGTAGTAGTAGACATCTGAAGTTTTAAAAACTCCACGAAAACCTTTCAAAGTTACTCTGAAAAGTGAAAAGTTTCTCAGGGAAAGTTACCTTTTCACCAAGTGCAAATGAACTCAAAACTGGCCACGCAGCCACGCTGTGTGCACCTGCTATAGTCCTTGTTGAGATTAAAGAAAATTTTCTGTTGTTTGTTCCCTGTGTGCTTGAAATGCAGCTTCATGAGGAGCAGCGGCGAGGAGTTCGTGGAGGAGTGCATCAACAGGGCGGACTGCCTGACGCTGGCGGTGAGGCGGCAGAGCAAGGGCGTCGGCGGCTACCTCATCAGCACCCGGTGGCAGAAGAACTTCTGGCTGCTGGCTTGACAAATTTTTACTGCCAAAGGCGAGCTTCTCTCCTACTTCTACAAGAAGAGATCAATAAGTTCAGTGACTAGTAACTACACCAATAACTTGATCCCCAAAGCCCATGTGTGCTGTCTGTGTGTATGTATGTGTGCATATGCATGTGTGTTTGACAGTGTGATGGTGTGTTGTGTGTGTTCTTTGATTCTATCCCTCTTTGGTTAGCTGTAGCCTCTCACTTTGCTGTTGTAAAGAAGCCAAAAAAGCTGACCCCGCTCTCCCTGTAATCCTGTGCTGTTCTCTGCGTGTCTGCTTGTTTGTTTGAGCAGGGACGGTATGGTGCATAAAGTAGTAAGCACTCTACAATTTGTATTATGCGGTGTGTTTGTTTGTATGTCTGGTATCATCTGTGGCGTTTGACCAACTGTCTTCTCTCACTCCCATGTTCTAACTCTCTTCTCATTGCACCATTCCATAGTTAACTTCACCCCCAACATGCATGGTCACCAGTGACCAGAATTTGTATTGTATGGCCGTGTTGAACCCAACAAGAACGCACTGAATCTTCTAGAGCGGTTGCCGGTGAAACATGCATCATTCATCATGGCGATGGAAATGATAAAACTAAAAGCCGGGCGGTGCAGTGAAGGAGTAGCTCGGTGCTATCATGGTTTTATACTGACTGGGCAATGCTACTATTGTGCCATTAACTTCATCACAGCGATCTCATAGCTCAGCCTCAGCTCGACTGGAGGAGGCACACAGCCGCGCAGGCTTTTGCTCCCACGGGCGCAGGCAGGCCCATCATGGATCATGATTCGTGGGCGTTCAAGGCTCAACCGTTCCACTGTACTCGCAATTCAATCCTGCCTGATCGGTATCCATGATCAGTTCCTCTCTCTCTCTCTCTCTCTCTCTGCTTCGTGAAAAAAAAAGAAATTGGCAGTAGGAATCAAGACATTTTGGTTCATCATCTGTTCTTGTGCATGAAATGGTCACGTTGCTGTGCGTGGCCCCTGATGGCGGAACACCTAGCCTCGTGCTTCCTGCTTCGCGAGTCGACGTACTCGCGAGGGAGGGAAAAGTGGCGACCAGCGCGCGGATTCACGGGCGCCGCGTGCGACGCGACACGACGAAGCAACGCGAGCCCCCGCACCCGCACCCCCCCGGCGCACGGCCGCACGGGAGCTCGTGCAGTCGTGCACGCTCGTAGTAGTACGTTGCAGCCGTGCGCGCGTGGTTTCGGCGGAGCGGAAGGCGAGGACAAAGCGTGTGGATTCCCCGCGCATTTGCGCCGCCGCGGGGGGAGGGCTGGGAAATGCTCCGGATTCCACCGTACGGCCCACACCGCAGTGACGAGGAGGGAAAGGAAAACGGCGAGATTGCTACCTTCCCACGGGTTTGGGCCGTGTGGAGAGCACACCTGGCCTCGTCGCGGTGTGGGCCTGATCCTACAGTATCTTTGGTTGCGTGACCTGACGCGCTGAAGTGAAGTCAGCTTTGTCCTGACCGCTCCAAGGGAAACCGAGATGGACGCAGATTCAGTGACATTACCCCATGAGATATCGTCCTCGTAAAACCACAATGCTATAAACAACATCCGGATGAAAATTACGGAGTTGTTTGGTTGGCATAATCATATTGTCAAAGTTTGCTATACTTCATTTAGCTAACATGCCTAACATGTTGCCAATGAAATTAAAGCCACACTTCAGCCATAGAAGAGTAAGCTTGCCACACTTTTACGTGCCAATGACATGTGAGACCCACATCATCGTGAAGGAATCTTGCCACAAGTGTGGCACGAACCAAACAGATATGGCTGGGCACATTTAGACCGAACCGAACCGAAAAAACCGAGATCAAAAAATTCGTTTACCTGTTCGGTCCTAGTCATCGAAAGACCGAATTTATTTCGGTCAATTCAGTTATTGGGCTCGGTTAACTGAATTAACCGAAAATGACCGAAATTTTGGCGCAACAAGCGAAGCCCAATAAGCCCAATAGTTATCTAACCATAGAAGAAGTGGAGAGGCGCACAGCATTCCCCATCCTCTCGGCCTCGGCCTCCACCATGCTCGGCCTCGGCCTCCAGCCCTCCACTGCTCCGGCGTCGTCTCGCCTTCGTCCTCCACCGTGCCGGCGCCACCTCCGCCCTCCACCGCGCGGGCATCCATCGCCTCGGGGGCACATCTGATGGTGCCTCCTCCACCCCAACGGCAACGAGTGGCGCCAAAGCCGATTTAGGATGAGTATATGACAGCGAAGAAAGCTAATCTGGGTTTTTATGAAATTTCTTCATGTGTATGATTTTTTGGGATGAGTATATGACAGCGAAGAAAGCCGATCTAGGATTTTTATGAAATTTCTTCATGTGTATGATTTTTTGGATGAGTATATGACAGTGAAGAAAGCCGATCTGGGATTTTTATGAATTTTCTTCTTGTGTGATTTTTTTGGATCTGAAATTTATTGAGGATTTGTGCTATTCTTCTTAATACTCCCTCCATTCCATAATATAGGCAAAACCACTTTTTTTAAGATGTTCCATAATATAAGGTATGCATGCATGCATGCAATTAACCATGACATCTTCTCCATTAAATTATTATATTTTTAAATCCTTCACTCTCACATTCTCTAATTCTATTGGATGCATGCATCATATTTATTAGGATGATCCAAAATACAAGATAATAATTATTATTTCTTGGTCTTTGGGTTAAGGGTGGTTATGCCTTATATTTTGGAATGGAGGGAGTATTTCTGAAATTTCGGTCTAACCGAGATCGAGACCGAATTGATTGGTCTTCAAAATTTTTCAAGACCGAATGGTCTTGCGCTTTAGATGATCGAACTTTCAAAAAAGACCGAAGATCGAGACTGAATTTTTGGTCTAATCGAATGCCCACCCCTACAAACAGATGCCTAATTTAATCAAACCTAACTAACTAGAGTTGTGGCATGGTGAGACAAAATTGTGGTAGTGAACCAAACAACCCCTACATCTCTATCCACCTCTGATCGTGCCAAGTGCCTTAGGGTTAGGGTTGAGGCAAGAGAGGGGGATGACTTTCTTTTAAGCCCTTGTTCGGTTTAAAAGGTATTGAAGAGGATCGGAGAGGATTAATGAAACAATTCGACAACACAATAAATGTGGAATAAATTCTCTCTAATTCTTCTCTTATAAGGATTAACCGAACAAGGTCTAAGGAAATTTGTGTTTGTGTGTGTTGGGTGTGTAGGCCATGTGGAGAGAAGGGCTCGGTTATTGGTGTTGACAAAAGTTCTGGATCAGAAAAGAGTCGGTGTTAGTTCCGAGGAAATCGGTTTTGAGGAAGATATATTAGTGCATGAGAAAGAGAAGGGCTGTAGGTTACATGTGTAAAAGGTGGGGAATGAGATCCTCTGCATCGAAGAACGAAGAAGAAAATGCAGAGGTGCTACGTTACACTTGCTATTAGCTCATGTTTTTGGACGATAGATCTTCATTGGATGGTCCAAAACAGCATGTTGCACTACAAAGGATATTCAATAGTAAATCAAAGTATTTTTTGAGCTTCATTGATACGTTAAACACATTACTTTGTTACTTTAAGGCTGTGTTTAGATTCAGGGATAAAAATTTTTACCGTATCACATCGAATATATGGATATACATTTGAAGTATTAAACGTAGTCTAATAACCAAACAAATTGCAGAATCCGCCTGTAAACTGCGAGTCGAATTTATTAAGTCTAATTAATCCGTCATTACCAATATTTACTACAACACTACATTGTTAAATCATGAAACAATTAGGCTTAAAAGATTCGTCCTGCAATTTACACGCAATCTGTGTAACAAGTTTTTATTTTTTATATATTTAATACTTCATACATGTGTATAATATTCGATGTGATAGGGTGAAAAAATTTACCATGGGATTTAAACCGGGCCTAAATCACTCTAGGGGCCGGTATGTGTTCGGTTGTCCTAGCTACAGCAATCGATGCCGTAGAGGTCTTGTCTTGGGCTCTGTAGCTGCTTGTTGTGTGTACCTACATCCAAGCTAAGTCTACTGAACAATCACATCTAATGCAAAACTCAAAGCACCATCTGAATCTGAATAAGAGATGTAACTCATTCTATTTGTAGTACTAAAATGAGTCAAATCTCTCTAACATCCCGTATATTATGGGATGTATGAAGTATTTATCGTATGGTTCTTGTGCTCGAAGGTGAGATGAGAAGACGATAACATTGAGATGATTTTTCTCTCGAGAAACATTGAGATGATTAAAAGAGGACTAAAGGATAAGAAGATTATATGTAGGTAAAAAAGAACTTGCAAATTATATATAGGTAGTAGGGAAAAAAAGGAAACCCAATTAATATATATCAACTTCGGATGAAGATTCATAAATAGGATTCATTAAATTGTGGTTTCTTTTATTTTGTGTTGGTGCTTATTAATTTGTGCTTGCCGTTTTTGTTAAATTTCGGTGTGTTCATGTGAACCCTTTGATATGTGGTCGCTTTTGAATGAATTTGTATAATAATTGATTGTAACTTGTTGAGCGAATGTCAAAATTTATTCCATTACAAAGAAAAAAAACTATGCTGATCGTGAACTGTTGTCTCAAACACTCAGCCACCGAACCGCTTCCAGGCTCACAGATTCTTGGGGGACCATATAAACATGCATCTACAACCACAGATTGTTACGTGCGTGAACGCCGTGCGTGCACGCTTGAAGCCGGCATAATGGCAGCTTTGTAGTGCGTGTATACTAGGTTTCTGCACGGCGGCTATCCTAGCCTGGAGGACCAATGCTTTTGCTGCTTTATTACGGCCTGGAAAATTAAGCCACACACAACGTAATTAACCAGCGGCACAAACTGCCCGTTCGTTCATCGTCATCAATTCATCGCTGATCAATGATCACCGGAAACGGACTCGCACGATCGAGCTGAAAGTTGAGTGCGGTGAAACCTGCAAAGCTGAAGAATTATGTGGTGAAACCTGCACCAGAAAGTCACATGTTAGTTATGCGCTCTGTTCGCTTGAACGGCATGCGTCGAGCTGGAAATTATTACCATAAACATATCGTCCATTTTGTCACATAATGCGCTGAGAAAAGGGGTAATTATCTGCAACCAAAAGTTGCTTGCTTGATTGGAAAATGGAAAAGATTTGGCAAGCTTGCATATACAGCTATAGGCAATATTGAATACGAGGTAAAAGTTTCCCTATCAAACTAATCAATGGATGAGAAGAGGCTTATGATAGTCCATTCTAATTAGTATAGTCCCCTTATACCCTACTAGGAGCTAGATGAGGATCAAGTGGCTCAGTGGTGCACTCTACGTTAAAAAAGGCATGACTATAGTGCAGATAACATATCGAGCCAACATCATTAAGGCATCAATACATGGCCCTAATCCTCTTCCATCTCTCGCCTGCACGCGATCCCTTTCTCACTTGCACCTGAGGTTTGCCTACCTCTCTAGTTACAGAGAGAGGAGAGGGGCTTCGTCAGCCGAAACCGTGCCCTTATCTTTTCTTTGCATTAGCCGAGGACAATACTAGGGGTCCCTCGATAGATACCCAATCATTCTAGCTACCTACCTATAGCTATATGTCTCTATATATGCTGCCATTGTAGATTGCAAGGTTGCATCTAAGTAGAGAGCAGATAGATAGATAGATACTGCAGGAGGAGCCAGCTTGAGAATTGAGATCGATCGACGACGAGACAGCATAGCTAGCCGCCGTCATGGAGGCTGCTGTGCTCGCCGTGGTGTTGTTCATCGGGGTGGCGCTGTGGTCGTCGTCGTCGTCGCCGGCGGCGGCGGCGGCGGGGACGAAGGAGGAATTAGAAGACGGTGATGACCAGCGAGGTGAGGTGACGTATGACGGGAGGGCCCTGATCGTTAACGGCACGAGAGTGATGCTGTTCTCAGGGGAGATACACTACGCCAGAAGCACCCCTGAGGTACGTACGTGATCGCCTCCACTGCATGCCTTGAATCGATTAAGCTACATACATAATTTAGTTTCATATTGGACATTGCTGTTTTTTCTGTATATGTATACTCCTTTTCGTTAATTTTGGTCCGGTGGTTTATGGAGTTGATTTTGAGAGTTTTTCATCGGTTCTTGGCACCTTAGCATACAACATACTTCTTATTAGGAACTCCTTAAAACACATAGTTCTTGGAAAATATAATACTGTTCCTTCCATTCTCGAATAATTGACGTAGATAATATTTAAGTTTAAAATTTGACGGCTTATCTCTTTTCAGAAGAATTATAAAATATATATGTTATATTATCGAAGTTTTTAGTGACAGACGTATGACCATACAACTTTCATTCATCATGATATAATCACATTAATTAACGGTCAAAGTGAAATGGCCGAACACAATTATTCGACAGATGGAGTGGTTGAAAAAAAATCATATAGCCTAAATTTAGTTATCTGAATTCCTATATGATTTCAAAAATGAAAAAGCTTTAAAAATTGCTGCTTGGATATTACACGGAAAAACTCTTTAGTATAAAACAAGAGGAGGAAATAATTATTTTTCTCCTAAATTCCAAACAATAGGCCATTTCACATTTTCCATAGGAATTTCGACCTCCTTTGAAATATAGTATAAAACAAGAGGAGGAAAGAATTATTTTTCTCCTAAATTCCAAAGAATAGGCCAGTTCACATTTTCCATAGGAATTTCGACCTCCTTTGAAATACCAGGAGTTTTCTCGTTTTCTATGAAATTTCTACCAGGAATAAGCAGCCTTTCTTTGGCCAAAGATGACTACTATCTGTGTCCTAAAATATATCTAGTTATAAATCTAAATAAATACTTATCTAGAATCATAGTTAAAAACAACTACATATTTGGGATGGAGATATCACCATCTTTAAACCACATTGTTAAAGAATTGTGCAAGTATATTTTTTCCCTACAATAAAGTTCAATTATCCAATATTATGTAAAGTATAAAAATACAGTATGCAGCAGTGGAAATATAATATCACACAGTTGTGTCAGGTCTTCTACACTTTCGTTAGTGGCTTGGACTCAAGTGACATTTATGTTGGTGGCTTGGTGCAAGCCTCCTTTTGGCTCAGCACTGTGGTACTAAAAGTAATGTACTCAGGCTGTGTTTAGTTCAGCGTAAAGTTTGGATTTTGGTTGAAATTAGAGATGATGTGACTGAAAAGTTGTGTGTACGACATGTTGATGTGATGGAAAAGGACTGAAGTTTGGATCCAAACTTTGGATCTGAACACAGCCTCAAACTACATACGTGTGGTTGGGTTGTCACTGACATTCTCAAACTACAAATTTAGGCTCCCATCGGATGGCCCATTAAACCAAAGAAAAAGCCAAATTTTAAATTTTCAAACTTAATTTTGAGAGTGATTTTGAGATATTTTCAACGTAGTTTCTTTTTCAGCATTGGCTTTTAAGTCACCAAGAACACATATATAAAAGTTTTACCTACAATTTTATTTTTATTTCCTAATAAGCCATTTTAGCTTATTAGAAAAAAAAACGAAACGATGGGGCCTAAATGTTAGATTTGCACCATCGAGTCTAGGCAGCGAAAAGCTTATATGCTAGTGACCGGGAAATTTTATGTGTGTTAATTATCGATTAGGATAGTAGTTATATTGCTGGCAGTGGAGCCTGAGTGATCGCTCAATCTGCCCGAGAGCTGGCTGCGTTGTTGCTGGCTGCTACTAAACCAATAATAATAATTCATGTTCCTTTTTGCATTTAAACTTCAACGAAAAAGGAACATGTCGCAGGGCAAGCATCAGAAGAACACGTCCTTCTTGAATCTTGATCATTCAGTTGGTGATAGACGATATAATTACGATCACCGAAAAGTGGTAGCGTACGTGTTGAGTGTGAACCATTTCGTCCTGGGATCCCAACTGAAAATTGGACATGAGTCGGTGCGTAGAGCAAACACACACAAGTGCAAAATCAATTAGCAGGTACACTGAACAAAGTGCTTTAAATCAATAGCGATCGCATGCCGTTCGATGTCCTCGCATCACGGTGATTTTCTTACCTACGTTTCGAACCACATGTATACAACGTAATTCGGCGGTGAAAATAGGTCACGTCGTTAGTCAAACGAGGCATATGCATAACAAGTGACCTGAACCAACAACAGTGACCCTCGAAACTACTACTCTGATCTCAGTGATCACTGTAAACTTGAGGTTAATTAGTTCTGCCCTGTGGATGTGTTACCTAAGTTTTACTCTCTCCATTTATTTTATATCATAAGTCGTTTTAATTTTTTTTCCTAGTCAAACTTCTTGTTGTCTGATTAAGTTTACAGAAAAATTTAGTAGCATTTTTAACACAAAACAAACATATTATTAAAATATATTCAATACTAGATTTAATAAAACTAATTTGATATTCAAAGTGTTGCTATTTTTTCTATAAATTTAGTCAAATATAACAAAGTTTGATTAGGAAAAAAACCAAAATGACTTATAATATAAAATGAAGGAAGTACTCGTTACCCAACTAGCCGAGCATTAGCAAAACATAGCAAATCTTATCACACAAAGTTGCAACTAAGAGACCGATATATACACACACATATTTCCCTCCTCAACTGCCGGTTTCACCCAAAGTCGTCCGTCCATGCCTCCACAAAGGTGGCATGAGAGGTCACGAAAGCTGAGAAGAAACTGAAAAAGGCCGGCAAATTCAGTCAGTGATCAGACATGCGGGGAGGCATGGCCATCACGGCGGCGCTCGTCGTCGTCGCGGCGGCGGCGGAGAGCCGGTGGGCGGAGTTGGGAAGGGAGATCACGTACGATGGCCGGGCTCTGGTGGTGAGTGGCGCACGGAGGATGTTCTTCTCCGGCGACATGCACTACGCCAGGAGCACCCCTGAGGTAGCTGCATTTCATCTGCTTTGATGCCAATCTGCTGACAGCATTAGCTCCCGGTTTTCATTTAATTAATTAACGTTCAAGGTGGTCGTGTAGCTAAGTACTTCCTCCATTTCAGGTTACAATCTTGATTTTAGCCAAAGTCAAACTGTTGTAAATTTAACTAAGTTTATAGATAAATATAATAATATTTATAATACTAAAGTAGTTTCATCAAATCAATAATTGAATATATTTTTATAATAAATTTATCTTGGGTTAAAAATGTTATTGATTTTTTTATAAATTTGGTCAAAATCAGTTTAATTTTGACTAAAGTAAAAACGTATTATAACCTGAAACAGAGGGAGTAGTCTTCGTAGAGTTCATAGATGGTCGTGTAGTTTTCAGGGCTAAACTAGGTTCGGCTGTCCAGTTTTTCTTTTTGAAGGGAATTTTTTTAAAGGGAAATGTCACAGTTTTTCTTTGATTGCGATGGAGGTGATGGAGACTTTATGTTTTCTTGTTTTCCTTTTTCTATTCTTGAAAAGAATATATAGCTTGTTCACATGAGCCTGTCATAACCTACTCTCAGTGCTTATTGATATGGATGACTGCAACTACTATTTGTTACCTTATTTCGTCCGACCTAAAATAACTCGATTTTTTATTATCTTATTTGTACCAAAATAACTTCTTTTAAGCAATCATAGCATTGGATTTTATAGAAGGGAGAGACAAATGGAATGGATAAAAAATAAAGACATTTTAGGAAGGCGGTAGTACATCCAATAACTCACTGGCAGTTAGTCATAACATATAATTTAGGCCCAGTTTAGTTCTCACCCAAAATTTTTTCACCCTGTCATATCAAACGTTTGTCACATCGAACGTTTGAACACATGTATAAAGTGATAAATATAGGCTAAAAAAACTAATTGCACAGATTACAACTAATTTGTGAGACGAATCTTTTAAGCCTATTTGTTCCATGATTTGACAATGTGGTGCTCCAGTAAATATTTACTAATGACGGATTAATTAGACTTAATAAATTCATCTCGCGGTTTACTGATGGATTCTGTAATTATTTTTTTTATTAGTGCCCGAACACCCCATGCGACACCCTATATAATACCCGATGTGATATGCCAAAACTTTACACACCGGATCTAAACACCCCCTTACATGACATGTTATCATGTTGTACCAGTTTATATTCATTTTACAAAACACTGACAGTCATGTAGGAGTAGCTCCTAATACAATATTTAATAGTGGCTTCAAGACACACGCAAAGTTTTGTATCACTCTCTGGGTTCTCAATATATAGGCCTATACAGGTGTCAGGATTTAGGACCAAAATTGTTCAACTGCAAATGTCTCCGTCATCTTAATCGGATTTGCTAGTAAGTTTGCGCAAGCTTTTTTCCTTCCCTAGCTTCCGAATTTTCAGTCGTACGATGTTATGTCAAGATTCGTGCTACACTAGTTACATATAAGTTAAATTATAGTTACAACTAGTTATAATAATTTTAACTCATTGTAACTACATTACAACTTTATATAATTTAGGTATAAAAAGTTGCCTATATTTTTATACTTATATATAAGTTATAGTATAATTATGATGGAATTATATTATATAGTTACATTTGAAAGTTTTCCATTTTAAAAAACTTGCGAGAAGAGTCCAGAGTCTATATAGAAATATAATTTATAAATAACTAAAATTAAAAATTTAAAAAATAATAATGGAAAAAAAGTCTAGAATCCATATAGGAATACAAATTACAAATAATAGAAATTTTAAGTTAGAAAATAAGGAATATTGAAACAAGAGTTTAGAGTTCATATAAAAATACAATTTACAAATAACTAAAATCCAAAATTAAGAAAAAAAGAATATTGGAGGAGGAGTTTAGAGTCCATATAGAAATAAAATTTATAAATAACAGAAATTCGAAATTAAAAAATAGGAAATAGTTAAAGAGGAGTTTAGAGTCCCATATAGAAATAACTAAAACTAAAAATTTTAAAAAGAAATTGATAACTATCACGTATATCCAATACAAATGAATATTACACATTGGTTAGTTTGGTCAAGTTAGTATAAAATTTAAAATTATGTTATCATTTTAATATAGTTTAACAATAAAATATGAAAATATTTAAGCTATTATATGAGAAAAAATATAATTGTACTAGCCGTGCAATCTGCGAGAGCCACCATACTAGTTCATTATATTTTAGCCTTAAAAAATGGAAAATCTGATAATTTTAAGGGTATAACGTATATCCAATACAAATGAATATCACACATTGGTTAGTTTGGTCAAGTTAGTACAAAATTTAAAATTATGTTATCATTTTAATATAGTTTAACAATAAAATATGAAAATATTTAAGCTATTATATGAGAAAAAATATAATTGCACTAGCCGTGCAATCTGCGAGGGCCACCATACTAGTTCATTATATTTTAGCCTTAAAAAATGGAAAATCTGATAATTTTAAGGGTATAAATTTGTTAGAATTTTACCTTTTCCCCCTCCATACATATACATATACATATATATATATATATATATATATATATATATATATATATATATATAATGAATTTAAACACGAGACTTTATACATAAGTGGAATATTATTGAAAGTTCACGTACAAATTTTTCTCGAATTTTCAATAACACTTGTAAATTGGTGTGTATACCTTAAATTTGGCAAATTTTGCTACGGGATATTTAAAGTTTGTGTAATTTGCTTATGGACATCGAGAAAATGTGTTACGGCTAAAAGATACCCTAAAAACCTGTTAATTTGCTAGCGGACACTTCTGACTCAATTGAAAAGATAAATTTTAAGAAAGACGAGGATGCCCCTAGGACCACATGCTTCAAACATAATGTTAGAGTGAAAATCTAGAAATCATGCAACTCTAAATTCACCATCACCCAAAGTAAATCACTAGCATACGTCGTACTCCATCTTCACTCCAATCTCAAAAGCTTTTAACCCTAAGGGTATTCTTGTCTTTTTGAAGAATTTTTCTCTCCAATTAAACCGGAAGTGTCTTTCAGCAAATTACCAATTTTTCACAATATGTTTTAGCCGTGATACAGTTTTTAGATGTCTACCAGCAAATTACATAAATTCTGAGTGTCATGTAGCAAATTTTACCCTGAAATTTATATGCACAAGATACATTCATCACACTTGTAGTGCAACTAGGTGCTGCTATAGTTGTCATCTATATTTTCTAAGTGAATTTGGTGATGAAAATCGAAAGGAAAAGGGAGAATTAAAGAGCTTACAACACTATACTTCTCAATTTTTAAGCATGCATGACCTTACAGAAAACAAAAGAGAAACATACATGAACTTGTTCTGAGGAACGATTCCTAACAAGTTAACAAATTTTCCTTTTTGCGAGGAACGAAGTCAATAACTTGAATGCTACTTCACCCTTGTGCACGTTTATGTCACAACTATAATCTGTGGCTTTGTGCCTTGCCTTCCACATATCCTTCGTATTATCTCTTCTATTAAAAGAATTTTTTGGTTTATAAATATATAGTCCCGGCCCCTTGGTAAGACATCAATTTTCCACAGCTTGAGCCATCAGGGGAAAAATATTAGACCTGTGATTTCCAAAAGGTGTAATATCTACGAACAAAGGGAATCTTAAATTGACGAGGATGAATAGATATTGGTTTCCTCTTTTCAGATAACTAACAGCTTAATAGATATTGGTTTCCTCTTTCCAGAGAAGTAGCAGTTTTGAGACATGCATCTATTTCCCAGAATTACATTCTAGCTCAGCGTGTTATATAAAGTGGAAAGCACAAATAATTACACTCAGCGTTTGAGTCATCAAAAACATGCACCCTATATAGCCTAAAGGTCTGGTTATTTGGGACAATTTTCAAGCAACAATCACTATGAACTTCGATAGCATTTCCGGCTTTCCTTGGAGCAATTCTCTGGTTTGCCAAGCTTTCCAATTCATCACATAAATCATTTATTAGGATGTTTGTGCACAATAAATTGGCAGATGTGGCCAAAACTCATAGCAAAAGCAAAGAACGGTGGCCTCGATGTGATACAAACCTATGTCTTCTGGAACGTTCACGAGCCTATCCAGGGTCAGGTATTCACTCTTTCCAGTCTGATATGTTTGTCTGTCAAAAGAGCATTGAAGATATTCAGTAAAAGAATTTCCATAACTAAGATATGCTTAAATGTACCATTGTAACAGTATAACTTTGAGGGAAGATATGATCTTGTAAAATTCATCAGAGAAATTCAAGCTCAAGGGCTTTATGTAAGCCTCAGGATTGGTCCCTTCGTAGAAGCAGAATGGAAGTACGGGTATGAATGAATTGAAATATTTTCCTATGCAGATAACAGGTTATCTTTTGAGAAATGCTCTGGTATATAGAACTCAAGGAAGCAATATGTTCAAATCAGAGTACAAGTTCTCATCTTTCATAAACTACCTTAACAAGTCTTTGTTAGTACAGAGGGTTTCCATTTTGGCTACATGATGTTCCCAGCATTACCTTCCGAAGTGACAATGAACCCTTTAAAGTAAGTGCATACAAGATAAGATTCTTCAATCCCATAATCTTAAAACTGTTTCCATTTTCCAGTCATGTACACCGCAATAAGTTACATGTTTTTATCCATGCAGCAACACATGCAAAATTTTGTCACAAAGATAGTAACCATGATGAAACATGAAGGGCTTTATTACCCACAAGGAGGCCCCATCATCATTTCTCAGGTTAGAAATGTTAAGTTGAATTAATAGTTGCATCAAGTTGTTTTATTTACATCTAACTACATCAATTGACATGTAGATTGAGAATGAATACCAGATGATTGAGCCTGCATTTGGCGCAAGTGGACCACGTTATGTCCGTTGGGCAGCTGCAATGGCTGTTGGTCTCCAAACAGGTGTTCCATGGATGATGTGCAAGCAGAATGATGCTCCAGATCCAGTTGTTAGTGTCATGCTTACAGCAATTCACATGATTTTCCACATGGCTACCTGAAAATATTAAACATACTGTCTTTTTTTTTAAAAGAAATAAACCCATGACAAGTTCATTTTTAGATTAATACCTGTAATGGGCTCATTTGCGGAGAAACATTTGTTGGACCAAACTCACCTAACAAGCCTGCATTGTGGACAGAAAATTGGACATCTCGGTATGTTGAAATGGCACTTGTCCTTTGATTTCCATATATCTTATTGTTCTGATGGAATAAGGTCTAACGGTCAAAATAACTCTGCATTCAGCTACCCTATATATGGTAATGATACAAAATTGAGAGCTCCAGAAGATATTGCGTTTGCAGTTGCACTTTTTATAGCAAGGAAGAAAGGTAGCTTTGTGAGCTACTACATGGTATGGACTTTAGAGGAAACACACTGAACATTTTCCAATGCTACATTTCGGCAGAAAAAAAGTACAACCTTCAAATGTTTCATTGTTGATGACGAATTTATGATGCAGTACCATGGAGGGACAAACTTTGGGAGGTTTGCTGCTTCATATGTAACAACAAGCTACTATGATGGAGCTCCTCTTGATGAATATGGTAAATCCTTTTTATGCAAAACAAATCATGCTAAATACATTTACCAATATACTAACAGTTAACAATAATTATATTTTCCCCACGAAAGAATATTATATTTTAACTTTCTTGTTTCTTAAGGTCTAATATGGCAACCTACATGGGGTCATCTTAGAGAATTGCATTGTGCAGTAAAGCAATCATCAGAACCATTACTATTTGGGAGCTACTCCAATTTTTCATTAGGCCAACAACAAGAGGTGAAATTACTGAAAGAACTATGGTTCTTATTTTTTAATAAAGTTCCACAAGACAAGCACATAATTTAGGATGTACTCTAGGCACATGTTTTTGAAACAGATTTCAAGTGTGTGGCTTTTCTAGTAAACTTCGATCAGCATAACACACCAAAGGTAGAATTCCGTAATATATCTCTGGAGCTGGCCCCTAAGTCCATCAGTGTTCTCTCAGATTGCAGAAATGTAGTTTTTGAAACAGCCAAGGTGAGTGATCTACTAAGGAATATACTCTGTTTTTTAATTACATGTAAATACAAACACATCCCCTCATGTTCATTTATTTATTTGTTTTCATCACAGGTAAATGCTCAGCATGGTTCAAGAACAGCTAATGCAGTACAGTCTCTCAATGACATTAATAATTGGAAGGCATTCATAGAGCCAGTTCCTCAAGACTTGAGCAAGTCTACGTACACTGGAAACCAACTATTTGAACAGCTCACAACAACTAAAGATGAGACAGATTATCTCTGGTACATTGTCAGGTAAATGAGCTTCGAAGTTAGTGTTCATGATCTACTTTTACTTGTCTTCAATCATTATAACTATATGACAAGAGAAATTCACTCAAATGCAGCTACAAAAATAGAGCAAGTGATGGCAACCAGATTGCCCATCTCTATGTCAAGTCACTAGCACATATATTGCATGCTTTTGTCAACAATGAATATGTAGGTAAGTATCCTATTAGATAAATGTCGTCCCCCAAGTTTCTGAATATATACTTTTATGAAAATTAACACCAATAACTAGACAATATATTGCCATGAACTAAATGTGCACTATTTTTGTCTCTCAGATAATGGTATTTTCTCCATTATATTTTACATATGATACGTTACATTGCTCCTATCAGAATTCACTTTTATCTAATGTTGAATAATTGCCCTCAATAATTTGGTTAGGGAGTGTACACGGCAGTCATGATGGACCTCGCAATATAGTGCTCAACACGCACATGTCTCTTAAGGAAGGAGATAACACCATATCATTGCTTAGTGTAATGGTTGGATCACCGGTAAGAACCCTGCAATCTGTCATGGTAATTTAAAAAATGTTGCAGAAACTATGATGGAGGAAGCCATTATGTTCAGATAAACAGGGCCTTCAACAAATGAGAAAGTTGTGCTGGTGTGATATGTATATATTTATATGCAAGTTGCACTCAGAGTAAATTGAGTAAGGGTGTGTTTGGTTGGGTGGATGGGAGATGGCTGCCTGGTTTTTTGATGTGTTTTGTTTGTGGGCACATGGGTGTTAACACTTCTTGATTCAATAATTTTCACAACATAAACCCCTGAGCCTGAGTACCATAAATTTGTATAATAAATATTCACTCTCTTACTTAGTGAGCTACCTAGTCATCCATGAAAGTTAAGCTTTATCTGCTAATTGGAAGGATTCTGGCGCCTACATGGAAAGAAGAACATTTGGGATTCAGACAGTGGGTATACAGCAGGGACAACAGCCAATGCATCTCCTCAACAACGACCTATGGGGATACCAAGTAAATAAGTCAATCCATTTGGAATTTAAACAAAAAGTGCAATATCACAAGCTCAATCCTGTGCTGAAATATTAATTGCAGGTTGGCTTATTTGGAGAAAAGGATAGTATCTACACGCAAGAAGGAACAAACAGTGTTCGATGGATGGATATCAACAATTTGATATATCATCCGCTTACTTGGTATAAGGTAAAGAAAATAGCAAACTCGATTTCCTCTTTATAACATTAAACTACACCTTAACATCGTTTATTTTGTGATCTAGACAACCTTTTCCACACCACCGGGCAATGATGCAGTGACACTAAACCTTACTAGCATGGGAAAGGGCGAAGTATGGGTCAATGGAGAGAGCATCGGACGGTATTGGGTCTCCTTCAAGGCTCCAAGTGGGCAGCCCTCTCAATCACTGTAAGTAGAGCCTCTGCCTCTCAGCACAAAGTTCTTGTGTATTCACTATAACCTTAGGAACAAAATCATCGTCGCAATGCATTTCTGAAGATATCACATACCACGAGGCTTCCTGACACCTAAAGACAATCTCCTCGTCCTTGTTGAGGAAATGGGAGGCGACCCGCTACAGATTACCGTGAATACAATGTCTGTCACAACAGTATGTGGAAATGTCGATGAGTTCTCCGTCCCCCCTCTCCAGTCTAGAGGAAAGGTTCCAAAAGTGCGAATCTGGTGCCAGGGAGGCAATCGTATCTCATCAATTGAGTTCGCAAGTTACGGGAACCCCGTGGGAGACTGCCGAAGCTTTAGAATTGGAAGTTGCCATGCAGAATCATCAGAATCCGTCGTAAAGCAGGTATAGAAATACAACCCTCTTATCACTTGTAAACTATACACACAAGGTTATAATGTGCTCTCTAATTAGCAATTTAACTGTTTGTTTCTTTCTCAGTCTTGCATAGGCAGGAGGGGATGTTCTATTCCCGTAATGGCAGCCAAGTTTGGAGGTGACCCGTGCCCCGGGATCCAAAAAAGTCTTCTAGTTGTGGCGGATTGCAGGTGATGCAACACAGGAAACTAATCATGGGGAATCGCAATATCAATATAGGAGAAGCAAAATCAAAATAAGCAATCCTACTATTCTTGATCAAGCTGGGAATAAAATTGAGGCGTAATCGCCTCTCATGTAAATTCTTCTGTAAATTGATTGTATGTGAAATATAAGTACCATTATTTTCAAGAGCAGTTCTGTGCGATACCTTCGTTCAGATGACTGCAACTCTGAATATTCTGAACTTCTGAAACTCTCAACACCAACTCGATGCCGCTCGGATTCGGGACTCCTGCGCCCCACCGCGTAGCAATGCTGATCTTGCTCCCCTCCCTCCGTCTCTTCCGGGCGCGAGGAGAGCTCGTCGCAGCCTCTCATTGGTGGTGGTGGCGGCGGCGGCATTCGGGAGGGGAACTCGAGCAGTAGGTCACACTGACTCTAGCGTAATCGCGGAGCTCCCCCTGCGTGGAGGGAAGGGGCGGCCGGTGTTTGAATCAGCGTGTAGGGAAGATTCTGGTTGGACGACGGCGGCGGCGGCGGCGGCGGGTTTGGCGTTTCCCCGGCTGCGGCACGGCCGTTTCCCCGGCAATTTGCAAAACAATCCATCTTGCGCCGCTGTAAATTGCAGTATTTGGGGGTATTTGCAAATTTGCAACTGTTTTTCTTTTCAATTTTGCGAGCATGCCAATAGTAACATAGTTTTAGTGGTATTTTTTAATTTTTATAGCAGTCTTGCAATAGTAACATAGCCTATACAGCTTCTCGTACACACTCCATACACACTAACTAACAAATGTCACGAAAATTTTTTAAAAAAATTGGACATTTCTCTACTACTTAAAAAATAAGAGATGTTTCCTTTGTCCGTCAAAAAAAATAGCGAAAAAATAAAAAAAAAGTCTGACTCCCGTCAAAACAAAATAAATAGCGAAAAAAATAAAAAAAAGTCCGACTCCCTCTCACGTCCGACTCCCGTCAAAACAAAATAAATAGCGAAAAAAGTAAAAAAAATGTCCAACTCCCTCTCAGAAAAAAAAAAGTCCGACTCTAAGATCCGATTCCCCCTTAAAAAGGAAAATAAACACACCCCTCCTCTCGGTCTCGGTTTGAGTCCGAGATCCCAGGCACACTCCTCTCGGTTTCAATCTATACCATGATATCCCATACATTTTGGTAAAAAAAATTGATGTGCCGGATTGAAGATCTGTTTGCAAAAACAGAACCTACTGGTCGAGAGTATTCCATTTTTATATGATTTTAATTTTTGGGTTTGTACTTTTTTATGTGAGTCCCTATAATTTTTATATTTACATTTGAGTCCCTATAATCTTGCAATAATATACTTGAGATCTTTTTTTAAGAAAAAATAATAAAAGGGAGAGAACAAGGGCATAAAGGTGCATAAAAAGAAAAAGAAAAACTGCAAAAAAAAAGAAAAAAAGGGAAAAAAAAGAAAAGCAACAACAATAAGATTTTGTTTCCTCTAAGTGGCGAAAAAAACCGTAGATCCGATTCCTATAAAAGGCAAAAAAAAGTGGTGAAAAATAAAGGCTAGATCCGATTCCTTTAAAAACAGAAAAATAAAGTCTGATTCCTATAAAGGCGAAAAAATCTGAAAAAACATCTAAAAAAATTCGTCCGATTCCCTAAGAAAGTGGCGAAAAAATGGTTCGTAAAAAATAAAAAATGCACGCGAGAAAAAAAAATGGAAAGGGCGAAACAAATTCCAATTTCTAATCAGTATATATCTCTTCTCTATCTCTAATCTAATCTAACTATTTAAAAAGAGAAAATGCATGAGAAAAATAAAAACGGTTCAAAAAAATGCGTGAGAAAAAAGCGCAAAAAAAAATCCTAAGAAGGTTTTCCATCTTCCATAAAAAAAACGTGCGAGAAATATTATTTCCATCGTCGGTAAATTTTTTAAAAAAAACATGCAAGGAAAAAAATGTAAGAAAAAATACGCCATTTCTAAAAAATGATTTGAAAAAACCGTGCAAGAAAAAAACACCGTCTATTAAAAAATAAATTGCTCTGAAAAAACTGTCAAAAAAAAAGCTAAATTGATGGACGCTTGAGTCGGATAGGATCCATCGATTTTTTGCCATCTATTACACGGCTTTTATTTCGTCATATATTCTCATGTATTGGAAAAAAAGCAAAAAAAAAGAACATTAAAAAAAAGCAAAAAACGCGTGAGAAAAGAAAAGCAAAAAAAAGGAGATTTTCGTTGTCAGTAAAAAAAAATCAAAAAAAAACATGCTAAGAAGAAACTGTTAGAAAGAAATGCGCCGTTTATAAAAAAACAAACCGTTCATTAAAATACAAACATTATCATTGACATAATTATGTATGAAAAACGTATATTATCATTAGAATTTATTCACCCGTTGCAACGTACGGGCATTTTTGCTAGTAATAAAAAATATTCAAACCAGTATAAAATTTGCAATTATACTAATCTCTTGCGTTATGCACCTGTCCTGAATTTTTAGAAAGACCATTACTATGTTTAGAATAGTCCCTTATTTACTAGTTAATCCGATATCTATGATCTACTGATAGATTTTAAGTAAAATTACATCCACGGTATATAAACTTGGTAAGTGGGTGCGATACAGTGTAACAATTTGAAAAATGAGCATGCAGATGAACAACTTGGCTAGTACATACATTCTGATTAAAAGATAAATATTCCACACCACACTTTTTAAGCCATGTAAAAAAAACAGCTACTTGTTGTCAACAATCTAATAGTAATGATTGTCAGAAAAAAATAATGATCAAGATGTGCTGTATTTGCTTGGTTATAATAATAAAATAACCTGCTGGTTTGAAATCAAGAAATTCCATGATTATCAAAACCAAGTGCATACAAACTAACATAATCTCCAAGCGATTCAACTAATCAAACATATTCAATTGTCTCCGGTGACAAAGAGTGCAAAACATACTTCTGGTCAATAATCTACTCCATCTGTTTCATATTATAAGTCGTTTGATTGTTTTTCTTAGTTAAACTTTTTTAAATTTGACCAAGTTTGTAGAAGAATATATTAATATTTTAAATACAAATCAAACATATTATCAAAATATATTTAATGTTAAATTCAATTAAACTAATTTGGTGTAGTAGATGTTGCTAATTTTCTCTTTAAATTTAATCAAACCTAAAGATTTTTTATTAAAAAAAAGTCAAACTACTTATAATATAAAATGGAGGGAGTAGCCGTTATTCTTATAATAGAACCAATAAAATAGGTTGAATCGTACGTATGTAACAAATGTTTTTATCAAAATGCACTTAATTGCCAAGTTTCATGTACAAGCCTGAAATTTTTTAAGTTGTTACACTAATCGCGCTCACCAACCAATTTTTTTATACTACTAATGCAATCTACTCTAGATTTTATAAACGGATTAGCCCCAAATACGTTTGCAAAATATTTGCCGACTTTTTACATGGCCACATGGCCACATCGCCGCCGCCTCCGTTCTTCCTGCCGCCGCTCCGGCGAAGCCGTCTTTTCGTCATCTCGTTGAGCGACCACGCCACGCCTTTGCCGGTTCCTGGATCGTGGCTAGGCGCAACTGGGGCTCGTGGTACTGGCTGCTCCGCCGTCGACGGCGAGCCTGACAAGGTGGCGGGCCGGCCGGTGGGGACGGATCACTCCGACGGCTAGCGGAAGGCGCCGCCAGATTGCGGGCCAATTCAGCTCGATGAGGCGGGGGCTCCCGGCGCAGAGGTTATCTATCTTGTCTGCATTTTCGTGGCAGTGCTCATCCTGCAGGTTAACTCAGAACTCCACTTGGGTTTTGGACGATTTCGTGCAGATTTTTGTCGGAAAGCAAGTGGCAGCATCTGATTGCATCGAGTGTTCAATACGATTGCTTCGTGTATTCCCCCTAACACATACAGGTCAGCAGCAAGGGTGAACTGAAACGCCCTTATCTCCTCTCTTTTCATCTTATTTTATTTTCGTCAGAGAAGATGTAGCGCAACGCAAAGAAAATTGGTAGATTAAAATACAGAATTACTTCATCTATTTTATAATGTAAGATTTTCTAGCACTGTTCACATATATGGTCTAGATTCATTAACATCTATATGAATATAGGCAGTGCCAGAAAGTCTAACATCATAAAACGAAGGGATGATGAGTTAAAAAGAATTTAATTTGGATTATTGCTTGATTTTGTTGTACAACATGCATGACTGTACATGAGGCAACCCGTTCCTTATAAAAATCATTCTTTTTAGCAATGACTTGTGTACGCTAACTGTCTCGAAGGTTCAAACTTTTGTTGATAATGTTTCAGAAATTTCTTTTGATGAAAAAGTTGCTCCGCTGGATTTCTTCATTTTTCACCATCTGCCGACACTTTAGATACATGAACATATCATAGGTCTTAATTCAACGGCTCACAATCAAAGATTGCTGCTCCAATAATGATCGTATTTCAGAGGTCGTATCTTGAGGTTACATCAGGTCGTTTCACTGATGTTAACAAGTAACAAAGACACCTTGGAACAGAAAAACAAATTGGACATAAGAAAATAAAACCAATTCAAGAGACAGGGAAAAAAAAATCCAGGGCCACTCCTCCTCACTCCACTCAATTAATTAATTACCTGGGAATTGATAGTGCCATGATTTTGACTGCAGGAGCGTGCCAAAACTGTCATCACATTCCCCCTCATCTGTATTAGTTTTCAGAATGATGTAATCTGTCGTCTAATCCGGTTCTTGCTGGCCTGCATCATTGTCAAGTGACAATAATTAAATTGGTATTTACTACTCTATTATTTCCTCTAAGAGTCAAGGACAAAATGGGAGACATCATTCAAATGAGCGAATCCTAATCTCATATCTAGGAGAAGAGAGCGAAGCAGAGAAGAGAATATCTCAGGCCTTATGAATAAGCAAGACTGCAGGAGCCTTAAATTTCATAAGGTAAAACCTAAAAGTTGATTTGTGTTACTTAAGCAGTTAAACCTATATGCTATCTTAGGAGTCTATTTTTGTTTTTCTCAGTTATGTGTATATTAAGTTATCAACTGCCAATGGAGTAGGTTCCTTCTGCTTTTTGAAATGCGTTTGCAGCCATATTTCCTTATGTTGGTTGTACAAATTGGCTCCAGGAGGATAAGCTCGACGTGTAAGCTGACTACACCTGATGGATCTGGATCAAGAAATTAAAACTTGTATAACTCATTGTGATTACATGATTCCAATTTGGCATTCTTGTCAGCCTAAAGTGACCCCCTACCTACAAGCAGTGGCCTTTCTCGGCCTCTCTTTAATTGTCATTATCATGTTGCTCTCTTTGACCACAACATCTAAAAATTTCAATTTCGAGACATAAAACAAGATTCCAAGTTCGGAACTGTAGGGGCGCATTCTTTTATAATTGGCACTATCTTGCTGCCCTATGTGAAACCCTTTCTTTTTGCAACTTATTTTGATGGAGAACAGTTGATGGAAATGGACCAGCCAAGCTATCAGAACAGCTGAGAAGGATCAGAATTGCTCCCAGTTATCACTTCAGGAGTTCAGGTGGGTATTTATTTTCTTCCCCTGTTACTTCTCCACTTTCGGCGTTCATGCTTGGATCATAAATGAACATTGCAAAAGTGCAGAAGTTACTGGCAATTCAATAGGGACAAATGTACAATCTACAGTTTTCACATACTTAAATGCATCCAAATTTGCACTAGGACAATGTTGATTCTTGGACAACAATAGTGAATCAATAACTAATGTAACTGTGGTTGGCTTGATGATTTAGATCCAAAACAAAACCGTCTACGAACACAATCAATATGGCTAGCTGTTGTACATGTCAGTACGGATGGGAAGAACAATTCCCAACTGTTTGCCTCACGTACGATTAATATTATTTTTCATAGCAGATAAACCATGATCACAAGAACACGGTTCCTAATCAAGTTGGCCAGTGGCCACCATGCCTCGTTGCTGCCTAATTTTACTGCAGAGTCTGGATGCATTGCATGCCTATATATACTTGCTGGATAGCTTCAGCAGCTAAATACCTGAAAGTACATCATTGCAAATGGACAGCATCACAACTGTTCTTGCATGTACGGCCTCGATCAGCACATTCACGGCCGTGGTTAACTCGATTGATCACGGACTGGATATATCTCATCATCCATTGATTTGATTCTGTCATGTTTTGCAACCCTTCTCTGTTTTACTGAGGGGGTTTTGACACCATCTGATCTGGCCTTGTTGGAGAATCTTTTGTTGCATTTAGGTCCAGATGGCTTCAACATGTACTAGATCTATATGCTCTTTGTGGAGTAAATGGAAGCAGTTAAAAAAGCAAGCAGTGCATGCAGCCAATGTTAGTAGCATGAGTCACTACACTTGGGAGGCTTTTGTGGTGATCTCCACAATGGCAGAAACACATGAGAGGGCCCCTACCTGCCTCACTACTCACCTGTGATTGTTCTTTCCCACACTAATGATATCTCAACCAATTCTTGGAAAGTTGGAGGAACATTTGCTCCTAGGCCCCCATCCTCCCAAAAGTTGGAATCATCACATTGAGTGTGCAAATGCAGTGCTACAAATCTCACATTTTCAGGTAATAAATTCACAGTGCTACCCTACCATGTGTTTCTTTCATGAGCGTTGGATCAGAAATGAAGAACTTGCATATCTAGGATTATCTGGTACGGTGGCACTATTTCGGATACTACAAAATTGGTGATATTGCTCTAGATGAGTTCTGGGACAGAATGTGTGGGTGTAGGACCATGAGGCCCTCAGTTTTGAACTTTTGATGATCTGATCTATTCATCCATAATAGGTAAGAAGAAACCTTTAAAATGAGAGAAGAGCATTATTGTTACACTCAATGTAAAATATCAACAAACTGATCATATGCGCAAAACGATATGATTTTGAGGTAGTTTTACCGTTCACAAATAGGTACCAAGAAGTAGCATAGTTACCTCTCAGTGTCTCTTAATTAAGATCCCAAAAAAATATCTCAAAAAATGGTGCCTGAGGTGGCACCAAAAAGTTATCAATTTTTATTATAGAAAATATGATACCTCTAATGACGACTCAATGACCATAAAATTTATATGCGATTTTCGTAGAACAAAAATACGTAGATAATAATTCTAGATGATCACCTAAGTTAATTCTAAGATTTGAACACCGATGGGTGATGGCTAGAGTATTGGATTTTAACCCTCTGCGTTTTGACAACCAATATATATAAGTGCCCTTTCAAACCCAACTTCAGGCTTATTCGGTTTAAAGAAATTTCAACATATAGGAATAGGACAAATGGAGAAATAGAAATACATGTACACATCAATCCATAGGAATTTTTCAAACGGTTTGAGTGAATGAAAAATTCCCTACGTTCTCTCTCTACATCTAGTAGGAAAGGGAAACTATCTTTACTTTTCCTTTACTCGCATTCTTACGAACCAAATGACATATATAAAAATTACTTCATCCGTGTCACAATGACTTACATTATGAAACGGAGGGAGAGTTATTCTTATGAATCCAAATCTTTGTTTTCCCCGGTAGCGCGTCCCCCGTGGCGCCTTGGCCTACATGTAATGCCACTGAACCTCCACTTCACACCAACCAACCCCCACCCATCGCTCTTTCCCCTCTCCCCCTCTCTGCAGCTTCTCTGGTCCGAACTATCCCTACAAAGGAGCCACACGCATATCTCGCCCCGTTTCTGCTCTACAAGCCTATTATAGCACTGACATGTAGTGTGTTTCGTTGCATTGCAACCCCCGCTCCTGAATTCTCTCACTCTCTCTGCTCCTCCCGTTTCCTGGACCTCGTCGTCGTCGTTGTGCGGGCCGATGGGGAACCCGCCGGAGCTGTACTACAGGATCCTCAACATCTCCAGGGACACGTCGCCGAAGGAGATCAGGGCGGCGTACAAGACGCTGGTCCGGCAATGGCACCCCGACAAGCACCCGCCCTCCTCCAAGAACGAGGCCGAGGCCCGCTTCAAGGCCATCACCGAGGCCTACGAGGTCAGACATGCCAATTCCTCCTCCTCCTCCTCTCTTTCCATGGTCGATCTCGAGTTCTCGACGCGACGGCGACGGCGATGGCGATGGCGATGATGACACGGTGGCGGTGTTGTGCTTTTTCGTTGCAGGCGCTCCTGGACCAGCAGGAGAACAGGGCGGCGTTCGGGGCGCGGGGCAACGTCGACGCCGTCGACGAGAAGGGAGATAGGACTGCTGCCGCCGGCGGCGGCGGCGGCGGCGGCGCCACCACTACCGGCGGAGTCGGCGGCGACGGGCGTGCGCCGTCGTCGGCAATGCCGCGGGCGCAGGGCGCCGAGAAGAAGAAGGCGCCCTCGGCGGCGGCGCCGCCGCCGACGAGGACCGCGCCGTGCGGCACGCCGGCGAGGGAGTTCAAGAAGCCGGTGCTGTACAGCTCGACGGGCCTCGGCGAGGCCGCAGGCGGCGGGCGGCGGCGCGCCTTCGCCGAGTTCTCGAGCTGCGTCGTGCGCAAGGCGCCGCCGCTGGAGCGCAGGGTGGAGTGCACCCTCGAGGAGCTCTGCAGCGGGTGCAAGAAGGAGGTGAAGTACACCCGCGACGTCGTCGCCAAGAACGGGTAAGTTGAGCTGTCGCTAGTACCTGCCTGCCTCTGCTACCTGCTAGGAATGGCATGCAGCTGATCGATCGATCGCGCGTCTCGCATGCAACAAATACATGGAAACAATGTTCATATGCGCCCAGTTTTTAACTCATTCGCGACAGCATCATTGCGGCTTCATTGATCACTCGAAATCCATAATTCATTACTTGACATATACAGATGACAGATTGTTTTCTGCTTGTAATATGTCTTACTACTGACATGGTATTATCATGCATGCGTGTCTGCATTTAGAAAGGAGATTTAGTTTTAGTGGTAAGCTTTTTTCAGCGTGGAAATGGAATTTTCATTCTGAGTCTGACAATGCTAGTGTTAAGTACTCGAGGGCCTACTTTTGAAAATAAATAAGAAGGATCATACTGCGTTTGAAACCTTAGCCTAGGCGCCCCTTCATAAAAAAGAAGAAGAAAAAAAATCTTCAGGCTAGGCAAACAGAACTGTTACTGTGATACCAAATGCATTTTTAATTAGGCTAACTATGTGCTGTACTTCTAGGAAATTAAGTAAGTTGTCAACAATCCATCTCCTAGCTCATTAAGTGAAACACTGTTTTAACATCGTTAGTACAGCAATCTTTCAGGTGAGTTTTTTTTTCTTCCTTTTTTCCAGCCAACCAGTACAGGCTGCATTTATCACTAGAATATTTAGCTTTTCCTTTAGAGCAAACATGAAATCTTCACTCATGCGTCCTTTGCTGTCTGCCCTCCTCTCCCGTCCTTGTATGTGCATATACATCTACCTAGCATTATATTGCAGCTGCCCTATTATTGCAAGAAAAGATTATCTAGACCTAACACCATCAACAAGGCATGCAATTGGAGAAAGAAAATTCCTTAGCAGTTAGTAGGGATTAGGCCCTTATCTTGAGTAGACAATTCTTAGGGCTCATGTTTGTTGGGGATGAAATGCCTCTCTTTTTGGAGGATATCACCTATCAAAAGTGGTCCTTGTGTTTGTGTGGCATTAGGATTAGGTGGTGTGTTATGTATTCTGCCTGCATGTGAGGTTTGCTGGTGTAGCAGGGATTGGAGACAGTGACTCTGCACTTCCTTTCAGCTTGGACTCTCCTCTCCTAGTTGTACCACTGATTGGACTGCCTGCTTACCGATAATTAAGCTCACGTATTTACACCACTGATCACTGATCATGCAACTACTGTACTAGCAACCAGGCTTGATATATTTTAGTACTTCCCCCTTTTTTTTTCCGAGTGTGTGGCTCTCAGATGGAGTTAGTTCATCGTTATCCTAATCTGATTTCAATTCAAAATTGTTCAATTGATTGTTGGTTATATGCGTCTAGTATATGCAGAGGTAGAAATAATATTTCCCTCTAATCATAAACATTTGTCGTTGATGGCAAAATTTGCTTAGTATTTACTACTCCCTCCGTTGTTTCATATTAAGCCGTTTTGACTTATTTTTCTAGTCAAACTTTTTAAAATTTGATCAAGTTTATAAGAAAATTTTGCAACACCTATAACACCAAATTAGTTCAATTAAATGAAATGCATAATATATTTTGATAATATGTTTTTTAAAGTGTTATTATATTTTTTATAAATTTGATCAAACTTAAAAAATTTTGATTAGGAAAAAAGTCAAAACAACTTATAATATGAAACTAACGGAGGGATTACTACACCAGTTACAAAATATAATCATTTTTTGCGTGTTTCTCAAAATATATCTGGGCGTATATTTTGGAATGAAGGCAGTAGATTTTGTAAACTTATTTTCATATGAACTTGATCTTTAAAACTTTGAAGGTTTGATCAAATTTTGTTGAAAACGTCAAATATTTATATATCTGACTCCTTATGTAAATATGTGCATTATTTAGGCTGGTTTCCAAGAAGGAGGAGACGAAGACGATCAGGGTGAAGCCGGGTTGGAAGAAGGGGATGAAGGTGACGTTCGAGGGGATGGGCGACGAGCGGCCGGGCTGCCTCCCAGGCGACGCCGTGTTCACCATCTCGGAGAGGAAGCACAAGGTGTTCAAGAGGAAAGGCAACGACCTGGTGCTCAAGGCCGAGGTGCCGCTGGTGAGCGCGCTCACCGGCTGGTCCTTCTCCTTCCGGCTGATCGGCGGCGAGAAGATGAGCTTCACGTTCCGCGACGAGGTCATCTCCCCCGGGTACGAGAAGGTGGTCGCCGGCGAGGGCATGCCCGTCGTCGCCGCCGGCGGCGGCGGCGAGAAGGCCGCCGCCGCGCGCGGCGACCTCCGGGTGAAGTTCGACGTCGTCTTCCCCAAGAACCTCACCGGCGAGCAGCGCGCCGGCCTCGCCAGCATCCTCAGAGCCTGTCCGTGATCGAATTACCACACGCATAGTAGTACACATTTTTACAAGTTTTTTTTTTTTGTTTCTACTCGTGTAGAAAATTTTGGTTTCATTTTTTGGTGTTGATATACTAGCGATGGATCGATCGATCGATCACCCTGCAGGTGAGTACATAAAGATCGAGTATGAGATCTGAGCGACCGTTTTGACGCATATACGTATATAAATACGGGATGGTTGTTGCAGGAACAAGCGTTCTCGCCATTATGTGTACGTTTTGGCGCCTTGCTCTTCTTTCACATCGCTTCATTCATTCATATACAGCTTAGCTTGCGTGCGTGCGCGCGGTCACGCCCAGGTTCCCGTTATCGTTTTCGGCGTTATCGTTTTTGGCGTGGTTACCGCACCCCACGGTAAGACGGTTACCGCGGTAACCACAAGACATACCGTGGTTTTAAAAACTGAAAAGGTTACCGTGTATGGTAACCGCGATAACCACGTGGTTTCGTAAACGCTGGTCACGCCAAATAGACTGCGATCAGATCGTGCGAGGCGAGGCCGTAGTGTATACAAACTTTTGGTTATTTGCAAAAGAATGCAGAATTGATGACCAGGCACGTGATTTCAACCGAAGCAGGCAGTTCATGCAGTGCAGAGAGATAGCTAGATGGGGCCATGCCGCCATGGACTGAGTGCTGCGATTTGGCGTTGTACCATCTTGTTTGCGTTGTACGAGATTGTAGCCTGCCTTCAAGCGTAAGCCAATATATATGGTTGTGTTCGGCAGTTTGAGATGGTGGGAGCAAATCCCTTTCACACGTGAAATGGAGCAATTTATTAGCGTATGATTAATTAAGTATTAAATATATATATTTTGGAAAATTAATTAATATGATTTTTTTTAAAGTAACTTTTGTATAGATTTTTTTTTTTGCAAAAAAAATACTCCCTCCGTCCCATTTCAAGTGCAGTTACAGTAACTTTTGATTTTGCATGTTTAAACTATAGCTGCACTTAAAATGGGACGAAGGGTGTTTTTTTCTTATTTTTAAACTGTAACTGTACTTATCTCTACTATTATAAAAATTGAAAATGTTTTTGCCGGTATTTTGGTACGTCATCCGTGTATGAGTCGGTTTTTAAGTTCGTTTGCTTTTAGAAATACATATCCGTATTTGAGTCGGTTTTTAATATCATTCACTTTTGGTAATATAAAAGGAATCATATAAGAAATATGTTTTAAAAAACTCGCATGCTAATTTAAGACGATTGGACTCCTAACTGCAACTCATGATTTTCTAAAAATATATATATACAAGCGAACTCGCACAGTGAATTTCATTTTAACTAAACCATATAACAATAATAAGATTAAAATAGACTTCACCCGTTGCAACGCACGGGCATTTTTTCTAATTACAAATAAACATGCAAAATCATATTTGATTTCTACAAGTTATAACAAAAATAAACAAATTTATACAAATATACCTTTTTATATAATTTATAGAGGTTGAATTTAGACTTTCATATTTGTGTAGCAACATACTAATATATTTTTTAGTTCTTTTAGAAAAATACAATTATTTAGTTGACATGTAATAAATGGATAGATATCCACTTACATGGGAATAAGATCACTTTGACTCCCTCAACTGACCACCGAATCTAAATCGTATCCCTCAATTGCAATACCAGAAATCTTGACCCCCGAACTTGCAAAACTGGTGCAATTTGACTCCCTTGGTGATTTTGAAGGGCGGTTTCGCTGACGTGGCGCACACGTGGCAATGTTGACCTGGTCCTTGTCCCACGTGGCATTGACGTGGCATTAAAATAAAAATATATATGTGGGGCCCATTTGTCATTCACAAAGAAAATTGTGGGACCCATTGACATGTGGGTCCCACGTCATCTTCTCTCTCAATACCCTTCTTCTTCCTCCTCTCCCCCTTATTTCTCTCTCTCTCTCTCCCTTTGACATGAGTCGGCGGTAGGCGGGGGCTTGGTGGCGGTGGCGGCGGGCGGGTGCCGGAGTGGTGGCGGCGGTGAGCGGTGGACCTCGGGCGACGGGCGCGGGAGCAGCTCCTCCTTGAGGATGCAGAGCGGGCGCTCAAGGTTGAGCGCCACCTCCGATTTTGCGGCAGCGGTGGGCGCGTCTTGGCCTCGAGGCGGCAACGTGAAACGATGAGTGGTCTCCGGCGATGCCTTCCACCGACAACAAAGGCCGACGCCTTCCACCGAGCCATTATCGTCTCCGCCGCTGCGACCACATCAGGCCGCCGCCGCTGCCGCCCTGCTGCTGCAGCTCGTCCTCTAGCCGCCCGTTGTGGCCGATTCGGAGCTCTGGATCTGGGCTGGTGGAGCTCGGTGCTACGCCGCGGAGTCGCCATGCCTTCCTGAGCTCCTCATGCATGGTTGCGCGACACCGTCAACGGCGCCACCACCATCGTGGTCCACCGCGACAAGCCACCGCTGCCGCCGTCGCTCCTACACTCGCTTGCCGCACACGGCCGAAGAGGTCACCAGCGATGGTCGGCGGCGCAACAGCGGCGGCCATGGCGCGGTCTATCAGGAGGAGGAAGGGAAGCGAGGGGCATATCCGGCCTTCGGGTCCACAACTCCAATGGCTGCCCGCCCGCCGCTGCCGCTCCATCCATCGCCCGCCGTTGCTGCCGCCGATCCGGACGCCGCTCCCCACGCACGAAGAGAAAGAGGGAGAGATAGAGAAGGGAGGAAAGGGAGGAGGAAGAAGGGATACGAGAGGATGACATGTGGGACCCAGATGTCAGTGGGTCCCACAATTATTTTTTGAATGACAAATGGGCCCCGCATATATATATTTTTATTTTAATGCCACATAAGCGCCACGTCAATGCCACGTGGGACAAAGACCAGATCAACACTGCCATGTGCGCGCCACGTCAGCGAAACCGTCCTTGAAAACCATTAAGGGAGTCAAATTGCACCGGTTTTGCAAGTTCGGAGTCAAGATTTCGGGTATTGTGGTTGAGGGATGCTATTTAGATTCGGTGGTCAATTGAGGGAGCCAAAGTGATCTTATTCCAGTTACATAATTATAAAAAAGTTTCCCTCATTTGGGCCATGTATGGACCGGACAAGCGTAGGAGCGGTGACAGGAAGGTCATCGGGCCGGCCGTCTCCTGTGATGGTTGATGGCGTGACAGTGACAGGAACAGAAACCGCAAATCACCTGCCGGTGTGACCGATTTTTTTAAAGGAATAAGTTCACTTTGTAACCATCAGATGTGATCGAAATTTAATCCGTGACCCTAAACCACAAAACCAGATATCTAGACCACCAACTCTTAAAACCAGTACAATTTGACTCCCTCGGCGGTTTTAGAGGGCGGTTTTGCTGACGTGGCACCTACGTGACGGTGCTAACCAGGTCTTTCTTACACGTGGCGTTGACGTGGCGGTTACGTGGCATTAGAATTAAAAAAATATATGTATGGTCCATTTATCATTCACATAAAGGATGACATGCGGGATCCACTGACATGTGGGCCATCCTTTATGTGAATGATAAATGGGTCATATATATATATATATATATATATATATATATATCTTTTTTTTCAGAATTTGGATTTAATAAATTCCTTTGTAAAAGGGGGTCCGAAAAAGTATTTTTTCCATCACCTAAAAAAAAGATATATAGTTGGTCATATAATCGCGGTTATATAGATATTTTCTATACTAGGATCTTTACCTTGGGTATAAGAGGATTAACCGAACTAACGCAGATTTTCGACAAGGGTGTCATTGATGGAATTACGAATGGAGTAGGTCTTGCTAGTTTTTGTATAGGAGAAGAAATTAAATATGTAGGGGGAGGTCAAATTTCGTCTTATTTATTCTTTTTTTTATGTTATGTATATGTGTTCTTATTCTTTTTTCTTTCTTAAGGAATTCTCCTATCTCTTGCCTGCTTTAGCTAATACACGGAAATGCATACCATGATTTTTCTGTCTATCAATAACTGCATGCATTGCTTGGTGAATGTGAAGAAGTAGGCCGTTGTCGCGGCAATAATGAGCCAAACTAGTATTTGCGGTGAATCCCCCGGTTAAGTAGTCATGCATTACAATAGGAACCCCTAATTCCCTCGCAAATACAGCTCTTTTAATCATTTCTTCGCATGTACCTGCAGTCGCATTCAAGTAATGCCCCTTAATTTCCGGTTTCGGCCTGTGATTTATAAATAGCTTCGGCACAAAAGACAAAACGGTCCCTCCAACGCATAAATGGTTGTGAGTTTACGTTTTCATCATCTTTGATAAAATCAAGTCCACCGCGTAGACACTCATAACATGCTCTACCATAATTTTTTGCAGATAATCCCAATTTTGGTTTAATAGTACATCCCAATAAAGGACGACCGTATTTGTTCAACTTATCCCTTTCAACTTGGATACCATGAGGCGGACCTTAGAAAGTTTTTGAATAAGTAAGGGGAATTCGCAGATCCTCCAGACGTAGAGCGCGTAGGGCTTTGAAACCAAATACGTTACCCACAATGGAAGTAAACATGTTAGTAACGGAACCCTCTTCAAATAGGTCTAATGGATAAGCTACATAAGCGATATATTGATTATCCTCCCCAACAACGGGCTCGATGTGATAGCATCGGCCTTTGTAACGATCAAGACTGGTAAGTCCATCAGTCCAAACAGTTGTCCATGTACCAGTAGAAGATTCAGCAGCTACTGCAGCCCCTGCTTCTTCGGGCGGAACCCCCGGCTGAGGAGTTATTCGGAATGCTGCCAAGATATCAGTGTCCTTGGTTTCGTACTCTGGGGTGTAGTAAGTCAATTTATAATCCTTAACACCAGCTTTAAATCCAACACTTGCTTTAGTTTCTGTTTGTGGTGACATACGTCCCTCCCTACAACTCATGAATTAAGAATTCTCACAACGACAGGGTCTACTCATATGGATTAGGCGTAAATGAAACCTTTGCAAAAATCTTAAAAAAAAAGATATTCAATTAATATCAATTCATTAAAGAAAATGGGGGCATGCTTAAGTTAATGAATATGTTTCATTCATATATAATGGTACACCCTGTGTACATTCTATGCTATAGGAATTCTACTATAGGAATTCGATAAGAATTGAGTTGTTGTTATGGTAAGTTAACATGCTTCGTTATTAAACCATGGATTTGATTCACCAAATCCATCTTTATTGTATACTATTTAATAGATATAGCGCAACCCCAAATCAACTTCTAATCCTTATTAAGTTCTTAATAGACCCCCTTTTCTTATTTTGAGTGGAAATACCTAAATACTACGAAAATTCTCTGTTGACAGCAATCTATGCTTCACAGTAGTATATATTTTGTATATCGAAGTCCTGGATAAGAAAGTAGAGTAGGCACAAATCGTTTACAAAAGGCAAAATGTATATGAAAAAAAGATTGATCGAACTTTCCGACGGACTCATTCCATGAGTAAACGATTGAATGGGATTCGTTTGGGCAACGAAATCAAGTGCTGGTCCCCTTTTCTCTCTTATTGAATTAACTAATTCATTTCCTTTTGACTTTTGGATTTTTGGATATTTTTTTGGTGTTGATTTGGCATTATTCAACAAGAAAAAAAAACCAAAGTTTCGATAAATTCCTTTTTTTGAAAATTATGTGATAATTATGAGAACCAATCCTACTACTCTCGTCCCGGGGTTTCTACAATTGAAGAAAAAAGTACAAGGCGTGTCGATCAAATTATTGGACCCGTGCTGGATGTCACTTTTCCCCCGGGCAAGTTACCTTATATTTATAATGCTTTGGTAGTCAAGAGTCGAGACACTGACGGTAAGCAAATTAATGTAATTTGTGAGGTACAACAATTATTAGGAAATAATCGAGTTAGAGCTGTAGCTATGAGTGCTACAGATGGGTTGATGAGAGGAATGGAAGTGATTGACACGGGAGCTCCTCTCAGTGTTCCTGTCAGTGGAGCTACTCTTGGACGAATTTTCAACGTTCTTGGGGAGCCTGTTGACAATTTGGGTCCTGTAGATACTAGTGCAACATTCCCTATTCATAGATCCGCGCCCGCCTTTATCGAGTTAGATACGAAATTATCCATCTTTGAAAATGGTATTAAGGTGGTCGATCTTTTAGCTCCTTATCGGCGTGGAGGAAAAATCGGACTATTTGGGGGAGCTGGAGTAGGTAAAACAGGACTCATCATGGAATTAATCAACAATATTGCTAAAGCTCACGGGGGCGTATCCGTATTTGGCGGAGTAGGGGAACGGACTCGTGAAGGAAATGATCTTTATATGGAAATGAAGGAATCTGGAGTAATTAATGAAAAAAATCTTGAGGAATCAAAGGTAGCTCTAGTCTATGGCCAAATGAATGAACCGCCAGGAGCTCGTATGAGAGTTGGTTTGACTGCCCTAACTATGGCAGAATATTTCCGAGATGTTAATAAGCAAGACGTGCTTCTATTCATCAATAATATCTTTCGTTTTGTTCAAGCAGGATCGGAGGTATCTGCCTTATTAGGGAGAATGCCCTCTGCAGTGGGTTATCAACCTACTCTTAGTACAGAAATGGGTTCTTTGCAAGAAAGAATTACTTCTACTAAAAAGGGATCTATAACTTCGATCCAAGCGGTTTATGTACCTGCGGACGATTTGACCGACCCTGCTCCTGCTACAACATTTGCACATTTGGATGCTACTACCGTACTTTCCAGAGGATTAGCTTCCAAAGGGATTTATCCTGCAGTAGATCCTTTAGATTCAACCTCAACTATGTTACAACCTCGGATCGTTGGCAACGAACATTATGAAACTGCGCAAAGAGTTAAGCAAACTTTACAACGTTACAAAGAACTTCAGGACATTATCGCAATTCTTGGGTTGGATGAATTATCGGAGGAGGATCGTTTAACTGTAGCAAGAGCACGAAAAATTGAGCGCTTCTTATCACAACCGTTTTTTGTGGCAGAAGTTTTTACCGGTTCTCCGGGAAAGTATGTTGGTCTTGCAGATATATATATATATATATATATATATATATATATATATATATATAATTCTAATGCCACGCAAGCGCCACGTCAGCAAAACCGCCGAGGGAGTCAAATTGCACCGGTTTTAAGAGTTTGGGGGTCGAGATATCTGGTTTTGCGGTTTAGGGTCATGGATTAGATTTCTATCACTTTTAAAGGTCACAAAGTGAATTTATTCCTTTTTTAAAACACAGTACGCTTATAACACGCGCACACTCGCATCTATAAACGTGCACATACCCTATCTCTATAAATATCTTCAAAGACCGACCCGATATATTTTAAAATTGGCAAAGTTACCATAAACACTTTACTGTTGACTGGTACGTCGTGTACCACTAAAAAAATAATTATTGAGTACCTGGGTCAAGTTTATGACCCGGGTGAGCTGCTTCCAGTCCAGGAAAACTAACCGGTCGGTTGAGGTACGCTCTAACGCTCACTTCGCCGTTTGGTTGCAGGACTGCGCCTTGCTCCCTGTACCACTGTGGCACTGTGCAGACTGTTGCACGAGTAGCCAAGGAATTCGAATATTCGATGTTGCACAGCTAAGCACATTTTCGTTTCGATCGATCGCCAGGAATTAACATTACGTTTTCACCCCAATTCCTCGGTGTTTCTCATCGAGGGGTGACTTCTGTTGTTAAGTTAGTACTACTTTTCTCGAAATAGACGTCAGCATTAATTTTTAAATATTTATTTGATCATTTATCTTATTAAAAATTATATAATTATTATTTATTTTGTTATGAACTGTTTTACTAATAAAAGTATAATCTATTAACTTATTAAAATAATCTATTAACTTCTAAAAATTCTCATATTAATTGGAAAAAAAAAGAAAAACAGAGTCCATATAGAAATACAATTTAGAAATAGTTGAAATTCGGAATTAAAAAATAAGGAACATTGGAAGAGGAGACTAGAGTCCATATAGAAATACAATTTATAATAACTGAAATTCATAATTAAAAAATAAGGAATATTAGAAGTAGAGCATAGAGTCCATATAAAAATACAATTAGAAAATAATAGAAATTCAAAATTAAAAATAAGGAATATTAGAAGTAGGGTATAGAGTCCATATAGAAATACAATTAGGAAATAGTATAAATTCGGAATTAAAAATAAGGAATATTAGAAGTAGAGTATAGACTCCATATAGGAATTTAAAACTAACTAAAATTCGGAATAAACATAATAAAATTAAAAGTAGAGTTTAGAGTCCATATAAAAATACAATTTACAAATAACTAAAATTAAAAATTAAAAAAACATGGGAAGAAGAGTCTAAAGTCAATATAGGAATTCAATTTAGAAGTAACTGAAATTCGAAATTAAAAATTAAAGAATATTGAAAGATGAGTTTAGAGTCCACATAGAAATACAATTAGAAATAATAAAAATTCAGAATTAAAAATAAAAAATATTGAAAGAAGAGCCTAGAGTCTACATAGAAATACAATTTGCAGATAACGAAAATTCGGAATTAAAAATAATATTGAAAGAGGAGTCTAGAGTCCATATAGAAATATAATTTACAAATAACTAAAATTTGATATTAAAAATAATTAATAACTAACACATATATATAATACAATACGAATATTACACATAAGTAGTTTCGTAAAGTTAGTACAAAATTTAAAATTATATTATCATTTTAGTATATTTGAATAATACATTAAGAAAACATATATGTTATTATATGAGAGAAAATATAATTATGCTAGCCGCGCAATCTGCGTGGGCCACCATGCTAGTTTATATATTATGTATTTACAAAAAAAAATTAATATAACGAATAACCAATCGTGTGTTCAAAAATCAACATAACAGAGGGAGTTTTATGTGGTTTTTTACTAGTGGGGAAATCATTAAAGAGAAGAACACCATCGGCAAAAAAGGGGGCGGAGGGGAATCAGATAACAGCATCGGGAAAACTGGCTTGTTTCTGACAAACAATAAAGACATAAATAAGTGACAATTAAAGCAGAAGAAACATATCTCCACAATAAATGTTTCTCTAATAAACTTATACTCCTGACATAGGAGTAGTACACAAATATGCGAATAGTTTTCATGACATAGGAACATATAATTTGCAATGCTAGAGATACAAGGTGAAGTCTGACAAATTGACAATCGAGGGAACAAGAAAAACAAGGAATTGCTGCAACTAACCTCTCTGATTAACGAACTCGAGATCAAGAGAAACAGTGTCTGCGCTATTGGACGTAAGGAAAAATAACGCTTCGGTCACAATGAATTCCTTCAAGTAAATACAAGACATTTTGCACATCCTCATTCCTCAACTAGGGTACAACAAACTTAATTTCATCTCCGTGGCTGAGTCATACGTTCCAGTTGTGTGAACTTTGCCAAGGCAGTCCTGTGTCCATTTGAGATACTGGGATGATGATCAAGGCGTAGATCACAATACTAGACAGAATGCCAAATATGTTCTGCCATGGATATATGGACCTCAATTGCTTCAGCAGTCGAACCGGACGATGGCCAAGGAGAGCTGCAAATAGACCTTCCAACCCAAACTGTGAGTATATCAGTCTTGCATACCGCAGCGGCCACCAAAGACTCCGTTTATTCGCGATTAGGATAAACATTATTATCATAGATCGCAAGAAGAAATGGAGATCTCCCTTCAAATGAAGAAACTCATACCAATCACCCGCTGGAAGGGGTGTCAGCCTTACCACGTAAACAACGGTGCTAACCATAGCCAAAATCCCCGTTTCCACGAGTGCGATGGAATAGCGAATGTTATACCTGCGATACCTCTGAGAGCTGTCGGGTAGACTAGTTAACAGAAGCAGCATTGTTGCTGATATGGAGAACCCCAATGCTAGAGCATTGAATTCCATGAATGACATGAATGCCGGCACCTCTGATAATACCGGGACGCCTGCATCCTCTCCTTCTGCAATATAGCCCCCAGGCACAGTAAAAAACGCAGCAAAAGACGCTGCTGCAATCAGCACCGATATTGTTAGTAGGTTCTGCGACAAGTTACTGTACAAGCTTGACAGTATATTCTCAGTCTCTCTCATGTCCAGCTGCTCACTTTGACGTTCAGGGAGGCACCATGGACGGCTGTTAGCCCCACGCCATTCCAAGCAGCTTATCATCGTGATTATTCGTGGGTTGAACTATACAGAAAGTAGGAACATAAATAAAAGGATGAGAGAAAACAGAATGAACGTGTGCTAATTAACTTACTGTGGAAAGTGTACACCATTGGTCACGCTTGTAGATGGCAACATCAAGAGGTGTTAGACCTTCATTGTTCGTTGCGTTTAAGCTCACCCTAGCGTCCAGCATAAGAGGGAAGGCCATGGATGCATAACCAAGCTTTATAGCTAGATGTAGCGGTGTGTTTCCTTGCTTATCTCTTGTATTCATCATCTGTGTGAAGCTTGGGGATTTGCAGATGTTTGTCACCACCTTTATCCTTCCATGTTCAATAGCACAATGGAGCGCATTTCTTCCATTGTTGTCAAGCAATTCACCACAGTTAGGGTACAGTTCGAAAAACTGGTCAACAATATGGACATGACCCTTTATAGCAGCAATGTGCACAGGGTATTGGCCATAACTGTTTGGAAGATACGCGAGAGTTGGATCCTCCAGTAGAAGATTCACAACTCTAATTCTACCAGCCGAAGTCGCATAGTGAAGTGCTGTATTTCCAAAATCATCGCCTCTTCTGGTGAGCATTGGCATCGAGAGCCGCAGGGACTCGGTCATATCTTCAATTGTAAGTAAACAAGGTGAAAACCATATATTGTATGAAGAAAGTAAAACTGCAAAGCTAGCTAGGCACGATATTTACAATTAGTTGACCCATTGAACACAGATTTGATTGTCGATTGATGCACTGCTTTATGATATGCAACCACTTTGTATCATGTATAGCTGAAACTAATGCTCAGCATGCAATTACCTCAAAGTTATCAGATTTATCCATACAAGGTTATGTACTAAAGAAAAATCTATCTGAGTATTTACTGCACATAATATTTATTTTGAAGAAACAACAGCGCGGAGTTCCAATGGAAGTTAAATGAACCTATCTCTTTCAAAAACTACATGAACTTATTCGATTAAAAAAACAATAAAGATTTACCACCCACTGCAATCTCATGTGTGTTCTTCAAATCATTCGGAACACATAAGATGAATAGGAATGAGTACTGATCGAACAAATCACAAATGGGCTGCAGAGATCTTTGTTATGCACAGCGTATTTGGAACAGATGAGTTGGTACACTGGCTCATTTCCAAATTACTACCTCAAGCATGTAGGACAGGAGAACAGCAATGGGTTGTCATCCCAGCAGGTTAGTGAGGACGATGCAGCAGAAATTTCCAGATATTAAAAATTGCCTAAGGTGCTATTGAAATATCTGACATGCTTATTTCAAAAAAATAGTGTAAGAAGTTAAAATAGTTAATATATAATTTAAATACATAAATAGTACCTTCGCTCACAAGAGCAGCAGCATGGAGAGCAGTTTTCCCATCAGGACCTGAATAGTATGCTGGAGATCTCACCACTTCGGGAGATTGTTCTATTAGTAACTGAACCATGTCAGCACGGCCGGATAAAACTGCTAAGTACAGTGGAGACACACCTCTTGCATTCACCGTTGAACCCAACCATGCTTCTTCCAACAAAAGTGTCTCCAATACAGCAAAATGGCCATTGCTAACCGCCTCATGCATTGCACTTGCACCATCTGAGTTACGGGCACCCAGCAGTGCCTCGTTCGCCTCATGCTCCGCAGCAGCTAGCCTGATGAAGTGAGCGACCACATTGTCATGCCCAGCTCTGGCAGCACAGATCAGAGGCGTATCAAAATAGTTGTTCCTTGCCCTGATAAGTGTGCCATCCACACGGCAAATTGCCTCGACAAGCTCCAAGAAACCATGGCTGGCAGCAATGTGAAGCACCGAGTTCCCCTCCGCAGTGACGCCCGTCAGGGGGGCTTCCGTGACAATCACATTGGACCCAATAACTTGCTCAAAGAGGTCCCTGTTGCCTGTTGTGACAGCTTGGAGCAACTCGTGGTTCATCGTGTGGGACATGTTCCTCAGTTCCTCACTGTTGCCGTCCCACGTAAACAAGGAATGCTAGTGGTATATGGTCCAAAAATTAGATCTTTGGTTCCCATGCTCATATATAGGTCGAAGACAAGACGCTGCAAAATTTTTTTTAACAGTAGAGGGTATCAACTGGCTAATTCACAAACGAAGAAACAGGATTAAATATATTAAGGTCTACGGTAAAAACATGGTTAACCACGTCCACTGGCAGCAGTTTTGCTAAAACAGCTGGCGCAAAATGGTTGTATGAATGTGTTGAAATACATACAGTAATACAAAATTACAAATGTATAAAAGTCAACATGAGCAGTAACACTTTTAAGTCATCTGGCTACTTTGTAGCATGCGCCCATCGTAGCTGTCATGCTGTTAGATCCAAAATCTCATACTAGGATTAAACACATAAGCAAAACATATCCATCTGTTGGAAGATGAGGGAAGAAAAATGTGAAACCGAACTACACGGCATTTATGATCCAGCGTCACAGAATCAGACAAGATATGGTGAATTACCGAGTAACGAAAGAAATGCATTTTCTTATGTACTCCTTCCGTCTTAAAATATAAGAATTTTTAAAGTTTAACACAGTTATTAAAAAAGTAGGTAAAAGTGAGTGGTGGAGAGTTGTGATTGGATGAGTAGTGGAGGTAGACGAAAAAAGTGAATGATGGAGGGTTGTGATTGGCTGGGAAGAGAATGTTGGTGGAGAAGTTGTTAGAGCAGGTACAATAGCAGACCATTAGCCAGCTATAAACATATTTTATTGAGACAACAGATAAGAGAGAAGAGCAGCGGGCTACAAATCTATAGCCAACTGCAGCGCGGACTCTAAGACACAATATGTGTATGACATGTGGGACCATATATTAATAGTATAGTAAGCAACTATTATATAAATTGGCTATTAGATTATCTATAGATGAATTGGAGCTATTAGTAGGCTATACTATTAAACTTACTCTTATATTTTAGGATAAATCCTAAGGACTAAAAGTTGTTATATTTTAGAACAGAGGAAGTATATAACAACTATCGGCAGTTACACACACAGTGGAAGAACCACAGCGCCACAATATGGAAATGAAATTTAGTGAGTTTTTAGCACATAGTAAATCAGTAGGCAGAGGGAGCAGGCATTAATCCGCTTATTTACTCATACTAAGCCCCATCACTCTAATCGGAATTTTCAAATGTAGGCACAATCACAGATGCAAACAGGATGGAACAGGACGCGGTCAACAGCGTGCATACCGCGAGCTCTCGCCAACCTTAGACTGGAGAGAGAGAGAGCGCTGCAGCTGCGCCGTACGGTGGAGCCATCTTGCTACGGTGGAGAGCCATCTTGCTGGCTGCCCTTCGTCTAGGGCCAGCATAGCAAGGCTCCTGCCTCCCTGCGAGGTCACTCTCATCTGCGAGATCCCGGTGGTCACGTCACTCCACTACTCAAGGATTTCCCTCTCCCCTCTTCTCTGCTGCTGCCGCTCCTCCCATCACGGCGCTTCTGTGGTGGAGTCGACTCGACCCGATTCGCCTGGCGTACCGCCTCCACCGCCGCCGCCCGTGCAGTGAGCAGAATCGCCTACTGTGGATACATGGGCTGCGCAGATGAAACTGACCGCCCCGCCATCTGTCTATCATCTCTCTACGAGGAATAAATGTTAGGAATAAGTTAACTTTGACTTCTTTAAAAGTGACATAAATCTAATCCATGACCCTAAACCGTAAAACCGGATATTTTGACCCCCCGACCTATTGAAACCGGTGCAATTTGACACTCTGGGTGGTTTTGGAGGGCGGTTTTGCTGATGTGGCGCCTGCGTGGCGGTATTGACTGGGTCTTCTTTACACGTGGCGTTGACGTGGCGCTTAAGTGGCATTAGAATTAAAAAAATAATTCATTTATCATTCACAGAGGATGACATGTGGGACCCAATGACATGTGGGACCCACTGACATGTGGGGCCCACATGTCATCCTCTCTCCTCCCCCTTCTTCCTCCTCACTGTCTCCCCCTTCTCTCATTCTCTCCCCAGCCTTTCTCTACACCGCGACACCACCAAAGTGGCAGTGAGGACGGCGGCGGCGGCCAGCAGTAGGGACGGCTAGGGACGACGGCGGCGTCTGGTGGTCGGGATGGCCAGGGACGGCGGCGGTGTCCGGTGGTCGGGACGGCGATTGGGAGAAGGTGGAAGGGCGGCGGCGGAGACGCGGGCGAGGCAGGGAGTGAATACGGCAGTGCGGACGGCGGCGGCGTCCGGTGGTCGGGACGGCTAGGGACGACGGCGGCGTCCGGCGGTCGGGATGGCCAGGGACGGCGGCGGTATCCGGTGGTCGGGACGGCGGTTGGGAGATGGTGAAAGGGCGGCGACGGAGACGCGAGCATCGCGGGGAGTGAATACGGCGGCATCCGGCGGTGCCCGCCATGGATAGGATGAGGTGGGGGAGATGATGTGACCATGGCTACCACGGATGCAACCATTGCTCACATCATGGATGAACAAGAAGATATCGAGATCACATCGTCCAAGTGCTGGAATCCGATTCGACCACCTGCTACACTGCTGACTTCAAACGGCCGCCGAATCTGCATACGACCTCCGTTTTCGGCCCGTGAGTACTTGATGGAAAGCTCTCGGAGGCCTCTTTCCAACGGATCCAGCCTCATCTCCGAATTCCATCTCGTGTGGCCGGAATCACAGGCACAGGTGCTGTGTCACCTATAATGGGCCTATGGGCTTGTAACTTCATTTGGGACCCCGGCCCAGGTGGGGCCCATATGGGGTGCGCCCCAACCAGGTGGAGCATGACCCTAGGCACCCCTAGGTCGTCCTCCCACCCCTATATATAGCTAGGTACCCCTTCAGGGTTTCTTGGGTTTTGTTTAGATGAAAGTTTAGCCATTGCTACTTCCTTGCAGCGCACGTGTCGGCTAGACCGTCCGTCTGCTTGTTCTTCGGAACCCCAACTTATCATTTGTATTAAATTCCTATTTGCAATATCAGATTGCTTTTATCTTGTTCTTGCTTGTTTCTTCGATTTGCTTGCAGGAATAGGGTTGATTTGCACCGGCAAGATCAACAACCCACGGAGAGGTGTATCGATCGCTAAGGCGCAACACAACGTCTCGTACGGTTGTAGTCGGATCGTCAACGTTTCTCCCAAATCGTAGTTATCACAACTCACCGAAAGATCGGGCCAACAACAGCCTTGAGTGTCGAGAGGAACTCAGGGTTCATCATGGGGGATCTCCCCGACAACGTCCGCCGCACCCGCCACCCTCCTACAGCTGGATCGACGGCCGCCGCCGCCGCCGCGGCCATGGCGTGCGGGCCGGCCGTGTGCTCCACCTCCGTCCTCACGCCGCTGCGCCACCGCCTCCTCCCCCTCGTCTGCACGGCTCGCCGGGATCCCTGCTACCGCGATCGCATCGCTCTACCGGCGCCGCGACCACATCGCCCTACTCCTCGTGGTGAGCCGCACCGCCCACCTCCTCCCCTGCTCGCCGCCCAACTCCCTCCCACCGCCGTCGGCCTGCTTGTGTTGCGGCGGCCAAAGGGGAAGAAGGAGGAGAGAAAGAGAGAAGGGAGAGAGGGAGGAGGAAGAAGGATTGAAACAGGACTGGCATGTGGGCCCCTTATGTCGGTGGGCCCACATTTTTTTTTGAATGACTGATGGGTCCCACGCATATTTTTTAATTCTAATGCCACTTAAGCGCCACGTCAACGTCACGTGTAAAGAAGACCCGGTCAATACCGGCCACGTCAGCAAAACCACCCTCCAAAACGGCCAAGGGAGTCAAATTGCACCGATTTTAATATTTCGGGGGTCGAGATATCTGGTTTTGGAGTTTAGGGTCATGGATTAGATTCAAGTCAGTTTTAAGGGAGTCAAAGTGAACTTATTCCTCTAAGGTCGTGTTTGGGCTGCTTCAGCCCACTTCTCGCGACCAGTGCGGGAAAATAAGTCCACTTTTGGTTCTCCTGTTTAAGGTCAAGTTTGAATAACATCCATCAACCGTAATTCCATATAGTATAGAGAAAATTCCTTACATGCCACTTAAAGTTCCCATGTTTCTCTGTATATCAACCAAAATTAGCTATTCTGTTAGTATATGCCATTGAATTGAAGTTCTCCTTCCTATTTGCCATTGTTGTTACCTCCGTTGCAAACCCATGCCATTAGTGCACAGAAACTTGCTATCCGTCTCTAAAATAGCATGGATGGTGGAGCTCGATCTGCGCAAGCAACGAGATGTTGCCGCCCCTCATCTGTTGTGGTCATCATCGTGGTACTGGCCACTAGCTAGCTTGATCCTTTTTAGCTCAATCATTAGGGGGGTGTGGGCAATTTGGTCTTTGTGCAACCAGTTTAACAGCCCATTAACACCACATTGATAGGAGTGGCATATAGGGAATTTTAGTCTTACGTGGCCGCACACATGGCACCGGTCCCACCTGTCAGCCTCCACCTCACCCTTACTCTCTTAGAAGCTAGTGGGCCTCACATGTAAGCTGATCTCTCTTCCTTTGTCTATTGTCTGCAGGCAACAGCTAGAGCGTCATCAGACACTGCTCGGCCAGCGCAACGGCGGCGCCGCCGGATCGGAGGGCGCTCGGCCGCTCCCCTTCCTCCCCTCTCCCTCCTTGTCGTAGGGCAACTACAACTCCAACAACGTCGCTGCCCTCGACGTCGGTAGCGAGTACGGCTTCGACACCAGCTACTACGCCAACCGCACCGTACGTGCTCGAGTCCGACGCCACGCTCCACTCGCCAAGACCTTGCCGAAGCTCATCCAGCTCAAGGGCAACCAGACGCAGTCCACGAGCAGCTTCGCCAACGCCATGGTCAAGATGGGCAACCTCCGCGGCGGCTACCCCGGCGAGGTCTGTGACAATTGCAGGCGGGTTAGGACGTGATGGTCGATTAGAGCATGATGACACGGCTCGTAGCAATGGCGTGCGGCACGATTGACGGATTGAGTTCATTTGCTTCAAGCATATCACCTTCTTCTCGATTAATCTTCTCTCAGTTTTAGCTTTGTATTTGTT